CCTTGTATATATCATAAGGTAAGTTTTTCTGTTGATACTACTAAAAGATGACTGGACAATAAGCAGAAGTGTTGCATACTTTAAAGAAGTAAATCACAATATACTAATGAGTATAACCAGCATGCAAAGATTAATCAACAAAACTTCCTGCAGGACATGGGAATCCTTTCTTTTGTGCAGTAAGAATCTAAAGAGAATTGAAATGCCTCTCCTCTGCAAACATGTTCAATAACAAGCCCTAACTGCAACAAATTTGAATGTTCTGATCTTTTCAGAAGGGTCTAGAGAGTACTAAAAATCTTACACTGCTTGGGACATTGATCTTAATTATTCCACTAAGATTTTTTAAGAGGAAAACAGACTTTTAGAGGAACCTGGATTAAAGCCAACTTATATGACAAGTAAACAGATCACAGGTCATGCTATTCATGCTCTGGCACAGTAAAATAGTAGTTATCACACCTGAAACTTTAAATATTAATAGTCACTTCCACAAATTTCAGAAGTACATATGAAGAAGAAGCTAAAAAATTAGTTTTTTCTTTCTAGATTTTAGAAAGTTAGCTACTAACATCTGACTAAATTTAACTGCATGCTGTATTACATAGTTGCTACATGAACAAATAACTACTGGCAGGTTTAAACAGGCAAGAGAGCAGGAAAAAGTACAGGGATAGTAAAACTTCAGAGAAAAACAGTCCCAACAGAAACCTGAACGGACTTACCATGGATTCTGTTCTTCCAACAACAGAAAACCACATTTTGATCTCCGGGACTACAGATCCTTGAAAGAAAAAAAACAATTCTCCACTTCTCTTCCAGCCCTCAACAGCAACCACCAGCTCTAGTCTGCTGGATTTTCCAAGATACCCATCGAGATAACTCGGAGCTCTGCTATGACACAGTGTAGCATTTATCAACACCAGCTATAACCAATACAATATTCAGACTCTTACGTAATCAGTTATGCCGTTCTGACTTCCATTTACTTTAGAGGCTTTATTAAACTCTGAAAACTGCTAGAAAAAACAAAAAGGGAGCCCTTTTGTACTAAAGACAAAAAACCTCCAAATTAAACAGGAAGTAATGTGCTGGCCCACAGATGGCTAAGAAGTCACATGCGAAAGCCCCCAAAAAAGTGATATATTTTTAAAGTAAACTGCATGCACACGCAGCTTCCAAATCATCTGGATTTCATAAAAACTTAACCACAATGTGGTTGGGAGTCTGGCAGCTTTTAACATCAAAACATCTTTCAGGGTTAGAGCAACCAAAGTCTGCACACAACCTCAAAAAGCAACACTGTTCCCTGTTCCCTATGCCCGACCACTCCTACCAACTACATTTCCATATTCCATTACAAAAGCTATTACTAATAAAGCTACAGAGTATTACTGTAAGAAAACATGCAATATCTACCAAAGGGCAGAACAAGAAGTTATTCTTCTGGATCACATATGAAGCTATACACTTTAATTTTAAATAGAAATAAAAATTGGTTTAAAGCATTGAGTTTAAGAATTGTTGTTATGTATTATCTCAATTTATAAAAATAAAAAAACCAAAACCCAAACAAGCACAACACTGTTTACAGTGCTCTGGAAGTTAACAGCTGTTTCATAAGTAAACCTGTTTTCTCTGCTATGCTTGCATATAGCATATGCACTTACTACACATTTGCTCAGAGGGACTGTCCTGTCTCAGATAACACCAAAGTGAGGTGAACTAGGTGATGCACTGAATTTCTGCTCTCTCTGGCACTCCTAGCAGGCCTTTAAAACTTCTAATTAAATAAAATATGAGTAGTTGTGATTAGAAAGTGAAAGAAGCAATGCACTTAAACATTTTACCTGTCTCTAGGTGGGAAGATGATCCAACAGAGAGTTCTCCAGAGACCTGACACTTTCCTATAATCCTTGACTCACCTCTTCAGGTTTCATTTTGGTTTTAATTATATTAATGTACATGTGTTTGCAAACACCTAGTATCCCAAGGTAATACTTCTATCATAAGAATAAACAGGTACACAGCATTCCAATGCAAGCTGCATTCCTTCTCTGCTTGTACAACCTTGGTTTCAACTTCAATCCTTGTTTTTAGATTGCAAAAGAGAAGGCGCAACAATCACTTGATAATTAGGAACATTTGGTGTAAAGGTATTATATAAGGTATGATTTCTAATTTTGTCATTAGAAACTCTTAACTGGCACAGACTTTAAGCCAATAAAACCTCAAAACTAATAAAAACTCAATCATTAGATTACAAATGTTTTAGATGTTTCCTCAGAGATGAACAGAGATTTACAAGGAAAGCACACATTTTTTTGCAATGGGTAGAAGAAAGAAAAACAGTCCCTTGGTATTATTTTTCTTTTTAATCTCCTGAGAATCTGCCCATTTTGTCCATCTCTAGAATATCATCAAGCTGCATGTTAACAAACTCAATCCAAAGGCCATGACAAGTATGAGAAGCCCCGTAACACGTAACAAGAAAGGCAGGTCAGCACTGACATGCAAAGGTATTCTCACAACATGTTACTGAGAGCAAGTATTCAGGAAATACATCACAGGAAAAGAACTGCTTTCCTAACAAAAGCTAAACAGAGTCAGGGTTGTCCTTCACTGGTTGGAGCAGGGCCTGTTGACCAGCTGCACTTTCTACTGCTACAGCCCCTTGCGAAGCACTGTAGAAACCAATAGTTCATTAAACACAACTGGGTCAGCAATCTAACTGGGCTCCTGTGCAGGGCAGCAGCAACTAGGTATTTCTCAAAGTAGGAGCTTTCATTTCTTCAACTTTATGAGCACCTAATAGCCAACCTTTTACTATTAGAAAGTTTAGAAAAACTGAATCTATTCTAATACTTGCCTCTCCCTCTCATTTCAGGCATTCCATCCAGTTAATGATTACAAAATTTTAGCAAATAGTTGTCTATTGGACTTCTTCCTACCTTTTTGAAGTTAAAAATGAGAATTTTAACTTTTATGCTGTTAAAAGATATACTACTTGAGACATATAGAAATATATGCTAGTAAATATCACCAATCTAAGGAATAGAAAGAAAAAATGCACCAACCCTTGCTAGCTTCTCAGTCACACTCACTCAGTTCTCTAAGCTGTTCTGCCCTGACCAGAAAATTAATGCTTGTGTATTCTTTGTATTCTTCTTTACTCTTTTTTTTTTTTAATGAAGCCTATTACAGGAAAAGCAACGCTGATAATTACTCACAGTAAGCAACTTTGAACCTCTTGAAAATAATCCTACTTAACTACTACAGCAACTTGTTTCAAACAATGCATACAATCATTTCTATCCAATGAACATTCTAATGACTTCATATTAAACAGAATTTCTATTGTATATACACCAAAACTAAAACAATCTGTTTCTTGCTTATTTCAGAGCAAAATTTAAAACATGACTGTTTTTATATCAGAATTCCAATATTAAGGTAGCACACAGTGGTAAGATAAAATGGGACTGCCTGAACCAGTGTTTCCTGCAACTGTGCAGATGAAAACTGTTCCTTCCATGACTGATGAGGTATTCCTTTACACATGTCAGAAATCATGAAATGTATTAAATAACTTGTAGAAAACTCCCAGATCAAGCTTACGCACTGACAGTAGCACTCTTGCATACTGCTAATGGAACCTAAATGTCAGTTGTTAAATCAACATCTAGAAGCCAGCCAGCTCTAGTGAAAAAGGAAACTTTCCCCCCTTTACTATGCTGCTTCACTCTAGATGAGAAATTAGATTTCACAGAGTAAAGTGAAAAAAAATTACTTCCATGGCACATTTTGAAACATTCAACAGAAATGCAGATGGCAGTCAGAAGTCCAATACATACTGAATCCAGTTTCAAGAACAAGTATTTGCTTCTCAGATTATTAACCCACTCCACTAAAATCAGAGCAGAAAATTGATTTTCCAGATCCTGAACTGTTTCCTCAATGATTGCTAATTGTTTAGAACTATACACCTGACACCAGTTATTTCTTACAGATGTCAGAAATAATTCTTAAAATCTGATACTATGCAAGATTACCATTTCAAGAACAGACTTTGAAATGAGTGAAGGTTGTAAAAATAGCCAAAAAATCAAACAGTGCTGTTTAGAAGCAATTAACTATGTGAGGTAACTTAAAACAATCATGTTTTCAGCTCATGCACTAAGTGCCAAGAGTACCACAGTATTCTGAATTTTCACAAACTACACAGTGGAGAGATATTAGGAAAGACTTATTCCATCTATTGTAAACCACCTAACCACAACATAGACTTTTCAGTATCACTGTTGCATAATTTATAACAAGTTTTAAATGCAAAAGATGATGTCTGCTATTTGATTCAGTTAATAAAGCAAAACCAACCAACTAGTGGAGTCTTCCATCTGGTGGCTGGAGCTGTATGTGCATTCTATACATTACTATGTAGTGCTACAAGCTACACTACACCCTAGCTACTAGCTACAGATACTAGCTACAGCATACACCCACAATTTTAGCTATTACACTGTAGGTCTCCACTGTAAAGAAACAGAACTGAATCCATTCCTGCACTTCTATTCTGTGCAAAAGAAAAGGTGTTGTGTTCATGGCAGAAAGTATTCCAACTTTATTGTATACATTTGAATTGTTTTGTTTATTCATCAATTAACCCACACACACATTCTTTGTGTTTACTTCTTGACTTTCAGCAGAAGTGGTAAATACACCTGTTTATTAATTCCGTTTAATAACACTGCTAACTTTCAGCTCTGAAAAAACGCAGTAAACCTGTAGCAGAGGTTTGAATCAAAGTGTTGTAGTAACTACATCCATATTATGGCTTCCCTTGTATTGTCCCCATCTGTGTATTTTACAGAAACATTTCCCAATCAGAATAAAAACGTGATCAACACAATGTGCACAAACAACTTAAGGGAAACAGACTTTTTCCATTAACATTTCCCATAGCAGGCTTTTTTCAGTAAGACTTAAACTGACTTCCATACCTTGGCAGCAACAATGCTGAGTCCCATTCCATTTTGTTTTTTTAGTGTTACAGTGATAATTTCAGGTTCTTTTCTCAAAGGCTGAGCCTATCAAATAGCGAAGGGGAAAGAAGAAAAAATTCAGAAGTTCATATTCACTGCCAGGCTAGTAAAGTAACTAAGCAAAACAGTTCATTACAAACAAAACTACTTTATTAGAGCAGCAGGTCTCACATCCTTAATAATATATCTGGTATCTATTTTACAGGTAGAAAGGTACAATAGCTAACATTTAATCAATATGGATTCCTATTAAGTACTACACCTGTGTTATACTACACTGCTGAAACTTGAGGTCTACTCATTGTTCCTCCTTCTTTAATTCAGTAAAGAGATTATTAATGGATCACAAATCAAAACGTCACTGCTCTATAAAACTGTAGTACCTTTTAACGAAAACTGACCTTCAGACTCCGCGGGTGCCTATTACAAAGGTAAAGGGTGATCTACACAGAGAGCTCAATTTTTAGTGCTGCATCTAGAAAATTATATTTTCCTTGCAGAATTATTAAGAAGCCAATTAATTTCAAAAGCAGAATTAAATCTTTGAAATAAAAGTTTGAAAAAATTTCACTTCTGAATACTCTTGAATACAGCCAGAGTCCCCAAACATGTTCAGTAATTTTTTTTTACATATCTTTTAACATTGCCAGTTCCTCAACTCAAAAAGTTGTCATCACAATCTTCATTAGCTGAAGAATGTGAGTTGGAGCACACCAGCTTGTATTCATACTGAAACATAACTGCAAGTTCCACAAGACCCATGACAAGTAAAAATATAAGCCAAGGAGAGTAATTTAAAAAAATAATAGTACTTTCTGATTGAGTTCAAGTATTAGAAATGCAAGTAGTTTTTAAACTGATACTAATACAAAATACTAATTAAAATGTGATGCTATATTGCTTTAGTTGCTCTAAAAAATTTTTCACATACAGCCACCCTCTTTCCAAAACCAAGCTGTTCTGTAACTTTGATATTCAAACAGACAAGCAGAAAAAACCCAACACAAAGCAAGCAAACAAACAAACCCTTACAACAGAAAAGAAAAAAACCCTTACCTTGCACTGAAGTGAGACCCTTTTTAGTAAGTATAATATAAAGGAAAGCTAAAGTTTTTGGGTTTTTTTTCAGGAAAAAGCATCAGACTAGCACTTAACATTAAATATTTGGTTGGTAACTGCCAATTTATAAATAAAAGCAACCTGGGGTTCCATAAGTTATTTATAGACCCACATTCATATATATTTTTGCCTGTGTTTAGAAGAAATTTCTTCACTGTTTATTCTCAGATGGAGGAATATGACAAAGTTTACTTATGTGAAAATTACAATCATGCTACAGCCTAGAAAAACAGTGACTTAAAAAAATATCCAAACAGTTCCTTAAATGCACCAAGTCACTGATGAACTGCATGTTTAACAATGAATCCTATTATTCCTAATAAGGGCTAAAACTGATCACGTAAAACTCAATGCCTTGCCAAGACTGCAGTCAGTAATTCTTCACTGAATCAATACTTACCAGCTCAGCATTCTCATGGGACAGGTGACTTTCGTAATCTGCACCTTCAAAGTATATTGTCCATGTGCCTGGTGACCGTGGATGAGGTATTAGTCTACAAAAGCCTAAAAGAAAAAGTAATGTCAATAAAGTCATGGTATTTTCTCAAGGGATTAATTAAAATAAAATAGTATTCATCTTTTTATGTTCATTAACGTGTCAAATCTTATATCTCAGATGCCATTATGGCCTTTGCTGCAATTTTATGCTACTACCTGCAAAATCCTATAATTCTATAGCTGCTGCTTCTCAGAAACACACTTATTTAAAAACACTGCAAGCTCACAGAAAACCCTGGGGCTACAAAATATTGCTTTTACCAACCAGATTCAGAAGAGACATGAAACACCAAATAATTTTTTTAGAATACAAACTACCAGAACTCTGATTAAAACAGTGCTACAGAAATTTACTTTGCAGAGGGTCTAGCTAACCAGTCTTAGCATAGATTTAGCAGAGGAGAAGCTCTGTGTGCATTCAATATGGTTTCAAATGCAGCATTGCAATTTACAGGTATTTAGTTTGATTTCCTTTTTTTTATTTGAAAAATTCCCTAGAATTTTGAAAAAGAAGCCACAGCAGTTCAGAAATATCCAACATTTTTTTCCTATATCAGGGACACTGAGAACACACATCACACAGAAATTATTAATCACTACATTCAAATATATGATATTCTCCTCCTCCTCAAGACCATTTTTCTGCAATTCAGTTTACATTGTTTCACTCCAAAAAGCCCCTCAGCATAATTTAAGGGGTACCCAAAAAGCAAAATTTTGAACATATGCATTTTAAAAGCCTTACTTACAATGAATATACAGCCATTTGTATGGCAACGAATTATACTTACTAATTAAATAATTTACTCTACTAAGCTCCTTTAGTTTCAAAATTACCCTCTGCTACTAACTGGACTTTCAAAACAGTGAGTTTCCTACTTTTCTTTTAAATGCAAGAATATAGCTTTTCTATAAACTAAGTTGGAAGCAACAATTGCAAAGGTTCACTGTAGTACAGAATAAGTCTGCTTTTTCAATAGCCTCCTTTGCTACAGCCTCTTATTTACCCTGACATTCCTGTAAAAGTTTTTTTTTTAACAACTGCTTTTAAGCAGAAAATTAAGAAATTCTAATAAAATTGAGGAGCACCAAATAAAGATTATAACTTGCTCATTTACTGAAAATGCTCAGACAGACCCCCTGCTTTACTTCCACAGGTTTAAGTCAGTTTGATGCAACCACAAGATCTATCATCTACTTGTCATCTGAAATTCTGTTGGATTACAAATGCCCAAACCATAAGTTCTTACACTGATCAACAGTGAAAGAATTATTTTAACCTCATGGGAGTTTTTAATGTTACATGGAAGCAGCTGATGAGTAAAAAAAAAATTGATTCTAACTTTTCAATTCACATTAATTTTAAAAATAAAAAAAGTTTTGGAGCTAAGGCACAACAATATTTTGGCAGGCTCCAGAACCTTCAAACTGAAAGAAAGGGATGGGGAGAAAGGGTAAGGATTAAAAAAGCCTTAATTTTAATGGCTTGCAAAAACAAACACTTGAAGAGCATAGAATAAAAAGACTGAATCGTACACAAAGAAAAAGTGGCTTACACTTTACTAAAATATATTCTGCATTCTGTGTTTGCTACACAGATCATTGCAAAACAACGAAAGAACTAACCTCTTTGACAGAGTGGATCTAAAAATTCTTGTAAACCACTTGGAACATTTCTGACAACATCACAGGAATAGCCATCTTCTGGTAAGAGAAAAGGTAGCTGTAAGTCAGGATCCTCTTCCAGCTGGACTTCTCGGCCATCGCTGCGAGCAAGTTCATCAGCTGTATTTTCTGCAACGGTGACTACATTCTCTATCAATTCCTGGACAGAAGGCAGAAAGACATTATTACTACAAAGTGATCATTTTATGAAGTTAAAAAACCTTACATTAAGATGATGCTAAGACTGCAAGAAAAATCAACTTCTTTGTCTCTGCTATGTACAGTCAGTACATTGCATTGCTTTATTTTATGAAATCCCATAGATAACTGTATTAGCAAATGAGACATGAGCTCTTATTTTTACTTCAGTATTTTCCAAACCTGTGGTACATGTATTTAATTTATTATTATTATTAATAATAATAAAAGCCTAAGCAACTATGGAATTCTACCTATGTGTAAATGGGTAATATGGGTTATGTTCTTCAGCAAAAGACTTTTTAGTTTGGTAGCCAATACATAAAAATATTTTCAAGCTACATGTCCTTCCTCCCATTCCCCCAACACCTTTTGAGCTGTTGTATTAGTGCTACTGACTTAATAAACAAATGTATCCCAAGTTAATAAAAGATGGACTTTGTAGATAATGCATTCAGCTATATAAATATTAGACTACCTCTGCCTTTTTTTTGGGGGGGAGATCAGTGAACTATCCGAGTTTACTGAAGAGCATTTTTTACAATTCTGCAATAACACAGCTGTCTTTTGAATTTTGCCACGGATAAAACTTAGAATACTCAGTCATCTTAAATATCAAGAAAAAAAGCACAGTCCCAAAACCAACATTATACATATACATACATACAAGTTCCAGTTATCAGTATGTTAATCAAAGGACAATCTGTCCGCTGCTTGTATGGAGGGATTCAAGATCCCTCAATATTTACCTCCTACATGTCAAAAAGTGTATTGTTTCTGATGCTTTCCTTAATTTCTACAAATTAGCAAACTTTATTCCTTTTGGTTACACAGAACCAGATTTTAGGGGCGCTTTGTTCTCTCTTCTAGCACCTTTCTGTATTTCATTACAAATGGTGTAAGATGCAGTGACACCTTTGAATACGTGCAACATGGAGTGGTACCTTCCTTTCCAACTCAGTGTAAGAGATTCTGGTTAACACCCTGCTTGAGTCAGTGAAGTACATCCACCAAAGGTAAGACAGCTATTCACAGCCAGTGGTTTTTTATCTCCTGTATCTTAAAACTGGACAATGAGTGATAGAAGAGACTTACTGTTGGGATGAGTGGTTCATCTGGAGCACAGTGATAATTCTGCAACAAGGCTTGTAGCTGCAGAGAATTCAGCTTAAAACAAGTACTGTTAATATTTGGAACATCTGCATGTGAGTATTTGTCCATGGTAAGCAATGTGGTTGCCTAGAGGGGAGAAAAAAGTCCCAGATGACAAATTAAAACCAGAATAAAACTTTAGGCCTTATGTCTAAATGCTCTTTAGGTATGGGAAAAGAGAAAGCAAGAAGACAGATCTGTAACAGAAGCAACATCAAGAGCCTCCCCCAAAAAACACTAAATAAAGATGAATTAATATTGAATCTGTAATAAATTTTTCAGCTGCTCTTCCTGTCTCTGTTTGGTATAGTTACAGCTCAGTCTTACAGCTCAGTCTTCTTTTTAATAAATGGAAATTTAACAACCATGTTCACTATTAATTTCACTTGTAACTTAAACATTAACGATATTGAAAACATGTTTTGTGTCTTTACCTCCATGCTATCTAGCATTCCAGGACTGACTCCCTCAAGTCCACATATTATTTTCTAGGAACACAGCATAGGCAAATATTGTCTTTGAATATATGAATATGTGAGAAGTGTTAATCACAAATACACTCACCTGTACTATTCTGCTCAGGTGGCAATCAGCAGCCAATTCCAAACCCTGTTTTTCTGCCCAGGCTTCAATGTGGCCAAGCTGTTGGCGCATGATAGCTCCCCAGTAATGTGAACATAACCCTGAATCTGGGGCTGTAACTAATCTGTTAAAAAGCCACATGTTGATAAAATGAAAGAGCTGGGAGAAGAGCTGTATGGTGAGAGCAGCATTTACTCTGCATCGCCGCAACAGGGACATGGCTCCAGTCAAGGTATGCAGCACATCATCTACAGAGATAAAACAAAAAGTCACTCACGTTCACAAACTGCAGAGTACACCTGGTTTAGGCAATAACACAAAGACACTCAAGTGAGGCTGGCGAATGCTAGGTGGAACCTGTGTGTACTTAATTACACATCTTTCAGAAATACACTTACTGGTCCATGATTTTAAAGATAGAACAACATTCAAATGCTAGGTAGAACATAACTCCTGAAATGAAAATAAATTCTTGGGGAAAATATTTATCATGCAAGTAAACAACTGGCTATACCCAATGTTTAAATCACATTCTCACTTCACTAAACTGATTTTTCTATTAGTTTTTATAACAAGTTCACATTCTGTTCTTCTGCGCAAACTTTACATTTTACTGTTTCAAACGCATATTCTAATTATTCCATAGCTTCTTCTAAGTATCAAATTGTACTCATAAATTTCAGCTGAAGTTATTTGCACTGTATGATGCAGGTAAACTATCAAATGCACCTTCTTTTCACACATCAGATTTTTAAAACACTTCAAAATCCCATTTTCCAATTAGTCCCCTGCAATATTACCTAACAAGCAAGAGGGACTTCTATTAGCATCACCAAGAGCAAACACCCTCATATGCTTCCCAGTGGAAGCAAACACACTTATGTCCAGGTCTTCTTTAAAGCAATACTTTTAACTGGAAATCTCTTTTGAAGAGACCATTAGTTTTCTTAGAATCAAAACTCAAGATTGTGTCTGAAAAAATATCTATAATGATTATAAGAAATCTATAATGCAGCTCAAAAATAACTGAAATAATGAACAGCATCTGCTTTTATTCCAGTATCAGTTTGCTACATTTTCTGGGTTTGTGTCCCCAGAAGTACTCTCACAGTGCACGGCCCTACAAACATAGCAATGCCTCTTCAGTCTTCCTTAAAGGTTCAATGCAGGAGAAAAAGCAAGAACAGAAAGCTTAACATCTAAAGTACCAGAAAGTATCTATTAAATTTTCGTACTTCAACAGAATGCTCTGTTTAATTGCTCTGTAGATCACTTTTCCTTCAATTATTGAGGCATTAGAAGCCTGAGCACAGTCACTGAGCAAGGATTACAAATGCAGGGTGATACAGCACACATTGAGCAGGGCGCTCTGGCGGCAAGCATCATGTTTCAAGTATCACAGCAGGGAAGCCTGGCAGGAAGCTACATGGCCAGCCAGCCTGACCTTAGCAGCTGGGAGGCGCTTCATCAGGTTCTGCCGTAACATCTCTGCAGTTATGGGAGGAAACTGCCAAGGTGAGGACTGGATAAACTGATGGCAACACACGGCTGGACAATAGGACTCGGTGCATTTGCAATGTCCAGCTGGCAATCACAGATTAGTGGCTTCCCTCATGTTTTGAGGGGAGACTGATACTGTTTAATTAATGCCTTCAATTAATGATCTGAGCAATGTGATGGAGCACATTCTCAGCAAGTTCACAGATGATACCAAGAGGGGGCAAAATACTGATACACTGAAGAGCAGCAGCATTTTTCAGGAAGGCCTCATTAGGCTGGAGAAATGGGCTGACAGGGATTTCATGAAGGTCAAAGGCAACTGTCAAGTCCTGCACATAGGACAGAGTAAGTCTGTGCAACAGCACAGGACAGGTGCCACCTGAACAGAAAACAACCTCAATGAAAATTAAGGTGAGATCCTAGTAAACATCAGGATGAATGTGATTGAACAGTGTGTTGTTGCTTGAAAGGTATCCAGTTGCACACTTAGCTGCTGAGTCAGCAGCAGTGCAGCTGGCAGGAGGGAGAGAGGGAAGCAATCCTTCCTATGCACTCAGCATTGCCAGACCGCCTCTGGAGCACAGCATCCGCTTTCAGAAACCCTGGCACAAGGAGGATACAGGTTTAAGGGACCAAATTCAGAAGAGATCAAGCAGTCTAACCTATTTTAGGCCTCTGAGGATTATTTTCCTCTGGATCATCCAGGAATGCTGGCATGTAGTTATTAAGCTCTGACTGCAGACAATGAACCAGGTACCTGGAAGGGAATGGGGAAAAAAGTGAATTTTAAATCCTCCATGTGTTCATTACAAAGGTTCTAAAGAGAAGAGTTCTATCAACTTACAAGATTCCTGAAATTTTTGTGTTATGAATGTGATTATAGGAAACCCAATAATACTTTTTGAAAGGGGTGAGAGACCAATTTTGCCATAAATTTCCTAGAAATGTTGCACAAATACTTAGGTTGTCTGGGAACAAGCAATATGCGTTTACATGCAATACTGCCACCACACTGGTAAGAGACAGTCATATGCTACACAAAGAGATGCTGTCAGGCCAATCTTGGGTTCCATCAGCAGTGGCTTGGGGAGAAGGAAAAAATCTGCATATGAACAAAAATTAAGCCTTTATTTTGATTAATGTTGTGCTTAGCCAATACTGTTATCTTTATTCAATAACACTTTCCTCTGAGGGTTTCCCCTTCCCATTTGGTTATTTAACACAATTTTTCCTTCAATCAGTACTGTAATTGCCTGAGCTGACACGTATAGCTTGATTTTTTTACTCCAAACCAAAACCTGTCCTTCCTTTTTTAAGAAAAATCTATGCAAAAAAACCACTGTGAAAATTGCTACTTAGAAGAATTATGAAAGTAGATTATATTTAGAAGCCTTTAATGAGCACAAGATTCATTACTTTAAAGACCCAGGAATATTTAAGCCTATGTATTTACATACTAACAGCAAAACTAAACTTAAACTTACCTCACAATTTCACATTAAATTAAGAGAAAGCAATCAACACAAACTAAATTTCCCTAAAATTATCATTGGCAGCCTCAACTATCACAAGATCATCTAAGAGATAAAACTTGTGCACAACTCAGTGATCCATATTCACAAGACAGGGCATCTGTCTAAAGAAGTAAGTCTAGGCCATTCTTCTAAGTTTTCCTCTGAGGTATTTAAAAATACTCAAAGGATATTATTGCAATATCTAAAATTTGGCAGAAATGTGAAGTTGTTCTGTAAATCAGAGAAACAAAGAAAATGGTAATTGAAACAGAAGTTTGATAGCCTTACTTGAATGCCATTTGAACCAAGTGTGCCAAAACATCTTGTGCATCCACAGTAATTCGGCTAAGATCTCTGTCTTGCTTTATGAAATTGAGTAGTTCAGATGCATTTGCCATCCAAAAGGCAAGGGCCCCAGCAATATTCTTCTGTTTCTGTAAGTGGAAAGAAGCAAGAAATAATACAGGGAAATAATTTTCTGATAAAGCATGGCAGCTTAAAAAGGCTCCAAAAGATAGACCAGTACCTCTTCCCATTTCACCAAACATCTCTCAGATACCAGATATTTGCAAAATGTTTGTACGTAATACTGCAATTGCTGTAACTACTATGTTTAATTTTAACATGTTCACTGAACACGTGAAATGCTAATAAATTGCCAATAGCCACATCAATGAAAGCCACAGTGGAAGCATCAAATTACACAGTGTTAAGAGCTTAGCAGATGCAGTATCTGGTAATCTGTGCACTTTTAAGCGCATATTCACTACTGCCCACTGCCCCACTGATACTGCACTCACTGGCTTTGATACCACGTGATTCAGTATCAAGTACTGATCTATCTCACCATCTCCCGACCACAAATGCCAGGCCAGGCAACCTCAGATGAAATCCAAAGAATAGGAACCACAAACAACAAAAAAAGAAAATAAAGGGAAGAAAAAGAACTTTGGTCATTTCATATCCACATTGAAGTGCGTTAAGCAGAAATTATGGAATGCCGTAAAAGTTGCAAAGTCAAAAAAGGATTTTAGTACTGCATGTTCCAGTTGCTGAATGAGTGTTATGAACTGTTCAAGTCCAGCTGTTTGAGTATTGTATTTTGATATGGAAGCAGCATGAGAAACTGAGCTAAGCCAACATAGCTAGGATCAGTTCCCAGCAAATATATCCTACCTGATCAACCTGGTCTACCTCCTGGAGAAAAACGGACGAAGGAAATCAAACAGAATAGAAGAAAGAAACTTGTGAACAATCATGAAAGCTTTAGAAATCAAACACTAAATATGAAGGTACAACACATGTTCACAGTTATACACAGATGCATTAATCAGTAGCCACAATGCAAGCCACTGAGCCTCTTCTAGAAAATTAATGATTTTACTAGGACCAGTAGCACAACAGCTACGAACTGAAGTGCCTACATGTCACAATTAATTCAAGAAATTAATGTCTTAAACTAGTTGCCATTCCAGACTGGTTATTCCATGCTCAGTGTGCCAGAGAAACCTTGCAGAAATTTTTGCAGGCAATGGGGTAACCAGCCATCCAAACAACAGATTCTGGGAGCCATTTGCCCACACTGCTGCAATAGAGACAATATACAAACACATACAAAGAGAGAACAGAAAATCCCCATCCAAAATGGAAAAAAACAAAACAACCCAACAACAACATTGAAAAGCAAACAAAATACACAGAACACCTAGGACAGATTTAATACATAACTTTTCAATTAAAGAACAAAAAGATTGTTTGAAACAACAGAAGAGTCAAATGAAATACCATACTAAGTTTCTTAAATGTTGGTAAATATAAAGCTACACTGAGTTAAAAGAAAAAAAAGAACCCACCAGATGTTTGTCTGATTATTTAGAACTGAGCTCTTAAATTATTTTTTCTTTCTGTTCAGATCACTCTCCCCCACCTGCAACACAGTGAGCTTACATGCAAATATTTGAGGTGTTACTATTTTAATTTTAGTTAGAGCTCAAAACACCAAATTGCTGCTTTTTTGTTTCCTCGCCCTTTTCAACCAAAGCACTCTTAACTGACTGAAGATGTGTTGGCACAGAACAAAAGGAAATGCTCTTTCTACAAACAAATGTTAAAATTTAAAAAGGATGAAAAATGCCACAGAATGATTTGGGGAAAAAAAAAAAGGATACAAAAAAAGGGCTTTTTAATATGAATTAAATTTCTAATCCTGCTTTTTTTATTGAAAGCACTGAGGCTTCTCATAGATCTCTCCTATTTTATACTGATCTCATACAAAGTCACCTATAATATTTGGATATAAAAACTACATATGAAGTCACAAATTTAATTTGTTAGCAAATACTTCTTGAGTAACTTCACAAAGAGACTTAACAGTTTTCTGATCTAGGCAGGCAAAATTAAGATCTCAGTCATTAATTTACTCCCACAATATAGCACAGGATTTTGTGCACCTTCTCACTCCTGTTTTGGGTGCCTCTCTCCACTCGCCACTCATTTGTTTTCTGTGTCTCTCACCATCAGATCCCCTTCAGTGCAGGAACACTTTACACTTGAGCTACTGTGATAGAATTTATTACATGGTGATCTGACTGTGACAGCCATAAATACAACCACTTATGTTACACCTTAGATGAAGTAATTTGACTTAGCTAATCTTGTACTGTTTCTACTCCACTAAGATAGGTCCAACCTAAAGACATTTTACTGGTACCTAGAATCAATGTATTTCTTTGCCTTCAGACTACTGACCTTGAAATTCACTAAAGTTTTTCTCTTTTGTCCTGGGTGTATTTTCCCCCATTTCCTCTGGCTCCTTTCACCATGACATTTGAATGAACCTCCTCCCAATTTCTATGCAACCTCTGACTTCTTTCAGTTAATTTCTTGTAACTAGGCAACATCTTTCACAAACCACAAATACTGCTTCCTTGCTGACGTGTTCCATAATATTTAGGTTGGAGTTAGAATGCAGCTGAAGTTACAAGGCCATAGAAATGGCCTTCCACAAAGGACAGTCCAGACAAACAGCTGGGTTTAACAGTTTTGTAATAGTATTAGCAGGATTATAGAAAATACATTTGCTTACAAACACAAGGTTGCATGTGACTTGGGAAGCCCTTCTCAGTGAAAAAAATGAATGTTTTTCACAAGATAACCTACTTTTGATCTTTGATTTGTTTTCAAATCAAACTGATCTTTCAGTCCATCCCTCTAGTATCTTCCAGCAATCACCTTGTCAGCCATTCAACGAGGAACAAAAAACTTTATCTCTGCTTTCCCAGTGTACCTGCCTCTGCCACTACAGGTCTTTTTAAGTTCATTATAACTAGTATACATTAGTTCTATAAACTGAGTGACTTTCTTTGATTCAGACCTCTAATTTCAATTTCTAATTTATATTTGAGGCCTACTTCTCTCTGTTTACTTTCCATTCTAGCCACTGAACTGCTGATGTGTAGGCTCTTGCTAGTTCATGTTCTCCCCTGTAGTCACAGTCTCCTCTCTTACAGATTTAATTTCTTTTTTTTTTTTAAATAAAAGTGCCTGATATTAATTTTTGATACCATTTCCATATCCACTGACTGTGACATCAGGATTCAAAGCAACATACTAGTTCTTCACATCAGAAGCAAACTGCTGTTCTGTCTCTGATCAACTTTAGAATGTACACAAATCTTACTTTCTTATTGCAAAGTGTCCTCAACAACAGCATTTCCTCCCAATCTTTCTTGTGAAAGGTAGCAGCTTGTTGCATAAGATTACACAATGTTAGTCTAGAGCTAACATTCCCTTGCTGTAAACTTCACTAAATCTTTCCAAAACCTGAACAATTTTGGTTTGCTGTGAGTTTCATGCCACTCCTGTTGATTACTTTCCTACTCTCCCTTACTCAAGCTGTTGTGTAACACTTGCAATGTAAATTTTCTAAGCAGGACTGACACATTTATGTTTATGCCTGTATATTATGTTATGCCTGTACAGCACTTAGTGCAGCAGGGCTCTTGCTGCTACTCTGGCAGCACTATTTGCAACGAACACACCTGTTTTAATAAACATAGAAACAGATTTCAATTTTTCTTCTGAGAAAAACCTGCAGACAAAGAAGTTTAATTAATTAATTACTGAGGATACATGAACTAGTACTCCTTTTTGAGAAAATGACTAGACTATTTTATCAATGCAAGGTACTGTCCAATATCACAGACAGCCCAGTGGATTTTATCCTGAATTTTTACACAAAACAGGATTTCCCCTGTGATTCTGTAGAAGTCTTGCACATATAGTACAAGAGTGTTAGACTACATATAAAACATTGGAACATTTGAGAACTTATATTTCTCTTTACAAAGCAGTTGTGTCAGCTTGGTTCAAGATGCCCAAGTTTTACATCCAGCTTTATGTTCAAGACATCCAACCATTTTTGTGGTTACAAAAGCTGTAAAAGTGACAAGGTCGGAATTTTAAAGTTGTGATTCTTTTAATACATTCATTTCAAGTATCAGTCAGTGCAAACAAATGCTACCTATACAGTATTCTTTAATAAGCCAATCCAACTTGTTTTACAAGGGTTCCCAGCCAGAAATGTTTCCAAAGACCTTACCTTCTAGAAAGGAGTCACCTCTTGTCAGGGAACATTATCTTCAGAGCAACAGCCACTCCCTAACTTCCCACATTGCTCAGGAGAGAGTTTCTTACCACAGACATTATTCACTGACAATAAAAGCAGTGACTGCCCCTCATAAGGGCAGTCAATGCAGGTACTACTGTTTAATCAACTACTTTACGGGTCAGACTAAGAAAAAGGCTAAGAAGTTTGCTCGATTATCAACAAACTGTAGGTAATTCCCTTGACATATTTTGGCACACTAACTCACCTGTATCACTCCTTCCATCATGTTCACCATCTTGTTGACTATTGCAATGACTTTGTGAGTACGCTCAGCAGGAGTGATGTCAGGTCTGTATTGGCTGGACAATACATACCGACATGTCATATACAAAACATATGTTGGTGACAGCTTAAAATGAACTGTCGAGCTATTTGTGTAATTTATAATGGCAGATAAGAAGGCATCTTCAGCTGCAGACAAAGAAGAAAAGAAACACTATGTCATAAAAGGATTTTCTTAGGGAAAAGAAGAGGAAGGGAGAGCAACTTACAGGCATTTGAACTCCAAATTATCTATTATGTACTACAATTAGTTAGACACACTAACAAAACACTTCCATATAAAGCCAGAAAATCTGATCATCGGGAAACATTTCTGCACTATTTCCTATCTACTGAAAATTTGCATCTTCAAGGGAACAGGAAAATGAAAGATTTCTCTTGCACATTTTACTCCAACAAAGCTCTTGTACTAATAAAAATCAGTCTTTGCTTGCTCACTAATCTATTTAGTTTCAGATATTTGAAGTATGGGCAATCTCTAGTAGGTAATTTTGCTACCAGATCTGAGGTCTTAAAAGCCTGGAGACCAAGATAATAATAAATTAAACTCTAAATGACAATGTAAATCTAATCAGACTTTATAGAAAATGGATTTTGACCAAGATGCAATCTATTACACAAGGCAAAGAGAACTACATAGAAGACAATGAATCCAAGGTACTGAGATGGAATTACAATTTTTTCACATTTAATCTGAAAATCTGAAGGTGTTGAAATGCCATCAGAATTAAGATATGCATGAACATGCCTCAATATCTAAAGTATCTGCTCACCCTCCCAACAAAACAAGTTATACTGTTTATACTGTCTAGCATCTGTATAGTCATAGTTTCTTTCTATGTTTACTTATATCACCCTTAAGTTTTCAAGCTGACTGAAATATTATATACAGTATAGAAGAACGCATATATATATATATATAATGTATATATGTATATAATATATACAGCATAGAAGAACGCATTAACAGGTTAGTATCGTAACTTCACAATTTACTCACAGCTTTCCCTGAATTCAATACTGGCAGGCAGTATCAGTTCTGGTCCATGGGTATCCTGAGATCTAAATAAATATGAGAAAAATTGAAACAAAATCCACATCGGTGATATTAATTACTGTAAAATTACATATTACTCCAAATACACTGGTTCCAAATATTGACACAACAACCTTCCACAGCACGACACTTTTTTTATCTTTCCTCCAGAATCATTCAAGCTGTATTTGCCAGCAACACAACAGACTTGAACTGTGGAGTCTGTGATATTAATGAGCACCCTCTTGTGTGCTGCACAGCAGACTGATAGGATCAGTTTGCCATCTGCCATTTACAGCATTCAAATAACAAATTATTCATGGACACATGAAAGAAATTGAATGAAGCTTTGCCTGAAACATCAGCTTAGTTACAACAAATGTACTTTGCTGCCTTTTATGCCTTCAAAATTTATGAAGACTTTAGTCAACCTATTCAACCTTTTCTTCTGGTAAAGGGCGAAAGGAGGTCAAACCCCGTCCCTACCTAGCTGTTGCTACATTACATCAAGAAACAGCTATTAGCCCCAGAACTGGCCTCACTGAAAGTGACTGCAGAGCTATTTCTCACCAGAACCCATCAGAGAAATCACCAAGTAGAAAATTGAACAGAGATTTGACTTTTCCGGTGCCTGCAAAAGGTTAAGTGTGTATTTCACAGAATCACAGAATATCCTGAGTAGGAAGGGACTCATCAGAATCATTGAGTCCAACTCCTGGCCCTGCACATGACACCCCAAGAGTCACAACTTGTGCATGAGAGCATTGTCCAAATGCTTTTTGAACTCTGTCAGGCTGGTGCTGTGACCACTGCACTGGAGAGCCTGTTCCAGTCCCCAACCACTCTCTGAGTGAAAAACCTTCTCCTAATTTAAAAAATCATTACTGCCTTAAGCAAAGACATTATCTGAGCTGTTCTCTAGAGATGGACAACTGTTTTTAGGGAACGAGTAAAAGCTTAACAGCTTCTGTATGCAATAACCATTTTAACCACATGTAACAACAGGCAGCTTTCTACTTTCCCCAACAACTTTGACAAAGAAAGGAATGTAATATATTAACGTCGTTGTCCTGAAGATTATTAGTTATGCCACAAGGCAAAGATAACTGAGTAAAGGCTTTCAGTGTTGTATCTCCTGTAGTAAAAATCCACAATATAATTTTGATGGCTGTCAAAAGATCTAAACTAAATTTTAGCATATTGAATCCAAAAATCCAGGGTACCTTTGGCTTTTGGTGGGGGTTTGTTTGGTTCCTTGTTTTCTTACAAACTTACAAAAACCTTAAACCAGCAGAGAACTCAGGTTATGCCACCTAGATAATGCATTACTAGAAGAGTTCAGCAAATCCAATTTCTGTGTAAGTTAAAAGTTAAGGAATAGCAGGCACAGCATGGCAGTATGTACACAAATTTCTGCCATTTCAGTTACATTTCAAATATGACAGCATGCTGTCTTTATGAAAAGCACCCAGCTGGTGTGTAAATTGTAGTATTTTCTATCTTTTTACACTATAAATTTAAAATTAATTAATTTGTTACTACTTCCGCACTGTCAAAAGTGCTCCTCCACTGAGAGCTTAATGACTTCCACAGAAAAATTACTAATACACAAAAATAATAAAATGGAAATATAGTAACAACTCCAGAAAAATTTTTAATCTTTTATTATTGGAATAGTAATAAGAGATAGAAATAGTTCCACAAACTGGCCAGTAAACCAGTGACAGATTTCAGCTGATGATTTATTTTATTTTCCTTAGAACAAAATTATATTGATCAGTTTCAGCACACAAACAGAAGAACTGGATTCCCAGCCAAAAAGAGACACTGTGTCATGAATGATGAGGCCTGATATTAATGCAAGACTGCTCACAGACTTCTGGAAATTGGCCACAAGAGCTAAATTAATACAAAGTATTCTTTAAAAACTTAAAATTTAATTCTATCTGTAAATTAGTTGCCCAGGAACTGATGCAGTAATCAATTATTTACTATCTAATAGGAATTCCCTTCAACAAATCCTGGAGCCATAGGATGGTCTGGGTTGGAAGGGGCCCTTGCATATCAACTAGTTCCAACCCCTGTACCATCTTCCTCCTTTCCCTAAAAACACACAAAAAAAATACTCTCTAATTAAGCCTTGCACATTAGAAATCTAAGTTGAAGTCATTCTCTGTGCTTCTGATAGAACACATTTTAATGGATACATTTTAAGTGTATATTGTCATTATGCTATTGATCCTATAGATAAAGCCTCTCTGTGGTGATGAAATTCTTTGAGCTAAACCAGTCTGAAAGTCTAGTTAGGTTTAGAAGGCCCATAAATATTGATTAGGCATTGTCTCTTTTCTCAGTATAGTGTCAAGTAACATTACATTTTAAAATCACATTAAAGCAATAATACATTCTGATATTTCGGTATTCCCCCAGATTTTGTCTCTGATAAACCACATAAAAAAATGAAACATCCTTGTGTGATTGTTCCTGTAGGCATACTATGTAAAAATTTTTAAGGCAAGGAATTAGGTAAGCATCTGCATTCAGTTAACACCACTTGATATATCACCACACTCCTTTCCCACCAAACACACCTTAAAGAACTCCTGAAAGGTATCCAGGACAAAAAAACCTCTCTTTTCTCATTTTTATTATATTGTAGTCAGTTACCTAATGAGCCTCTATGACCACAATCCTTAACTGAGTAATCATTATGTCTCATTTCCAAGAATCATGTTACAATCAGAACAAGCACACCCAGTAAGTAAACTGGAGTTATGCTCTCAGATGTCAATTTTTTTCTTTCTAGAAATGAAAAAAATATGGCAGCCAAGTTCTAATCTTCAGTCTCAACCTATTCAGCGAGTTCTAGAAGAAAGTCTTATTTGTGTTATCATTCACCTTTATAGAGCAGTGATGAACACACAGTATCACACGAACATTTAGTGTGGGCTGGAAGTTGTACAGTAACAAGAACCTGAAACTTGCCAGTGAAGAATTTTTGTTTTTTTAAACTAATAAAGCAGTTCACAATTACTGCCCTTAGAGTTCACAACATGAGAGCAGAGTATCCCAGAGGAAACCTAACTAAAGGTCCACAAAATACGTCCATAAAGGGGAATTCCATGTATTCAGGCAACTCATGGTCCAATTTGTCAAGTCCTAATCTGACATCCTGACTTTGCTAATTTGTTATTCTCATGAACACAGTGAATGTATCTGAGAAAGAGCACGTGATAGAAGGGCTGTATCAGGATGAATAAAACTCATTACACAACACATACTACAGACATTTAAGACATATACAGAAATAAAATATCACTGTCAGGGCTGGTGATGAAGATCTCTGAAGTTGTAGTTGTCACATATTTAAGTGTGATTTAGGTGCCTCTAAAAATAATTTCTGCACACAGGAACCATGGTGAATAAACCTTTATAAAAACTAGCAATGAGTACTCTCTTTAAAAGGAATTTAAGGCAACAAAAAACCCCCATCAAAATGAAGCCAAGATACTGCACACAGATGGCTCTGTGTTTTTGAAATACAGGACTACAGCACAAGATAATCCTCTTCATTGAAATTTAATAAACTTCATACACATACAGAAGCATAGTTCAAGAAATATTAAGAACAGAAGCCTCAAGAAATTCTGACAGGCTATAAAAAGTTCAGACAGAACTTATTGTTAATCTTTTATGAGGAAAATTACAATTACAATACTAGTATTCCAAGAAGGAGTTAAATCTTCACAATCTTAATAAAATTCTAAAAAAAAGAATTTTTTTAGAAAATTCTGAAGATGGTCAGGCACTCTAACAAGGGAATGTAGAGTAGAACTGAGTTATATTCTAGTCTAACTTCACTGAAAGTATTTAAAATATGCCCCTGCTATAAAACACTTGAATATTCAAATTCAAGTGGAAGCACAATTTTCTGCCCTTTTATGGTATTTTTTTCATGCCACTCACATCTCCGAATTATCTTTTCTGTCTAGTGAATAATATATCAATTTAAAGATACACAAAGCTTCGTACTGCAAGCTTTACAACTTGGATCACTGCACATTTTAACCCTGCAGCACATTTACCTTACCTTTCATCCATTTATCACAGCTGCTCATCTAAATTTAAAAGTTGATTTATGTAGACAGCAATGCAATCTTGTATTTTTTGAAAGACTTGAAAAAACTTCTATTCACATCCTCACTGATTTGCTGAGGTGTGATAGAAGACACTGGAGATCACCTGATTCAACTTCCCTGCTCAAAGCAGGATCAACAAGAGCAAGTCGCTCACTACCCTGTCCAGTCAAGTTTTAAGTATCTTTAAGAATCTTCAAGGACAGACTCCACACCAGCTGACAACAGCACAGTAGACATAGCAATGACCTGGTTATTTCACTCTCCAGAGTAAATCACATCATCTTGCCACTGACAAATGAAAATTTTACGTAATTGTACTTTTCATTTTATATGACATTCCTAACCAGAAATCAACAATGATGTGACATGACTGTCAGCCTGACTTTACAGAAAGAGAACCACAAATAATTGAATATTGAGGCAAAGGATTACTTTTATGGGGTTTTTTAAGTATTGTGAAGTTTTTTGCTTTGGTTGTTAATCCTGGAGCTTTTTTGAAGAGAGATCTCATTCTCCATATGGAAAACCAGATAATTTAAAATACTTTAACACAGCACTTGATCCACTGGAAAAACAAATCCATTTTTTCGATTCTGAGCAGTAATGGATGCCACATTTCCTACCTGCTGTCCTGTCGGCGGTAATCCTGCTGGTCTATCCGAATCATCGGCTTCACCATTCCTCGCTCGGCCGTGCTGGATGCGGATGATGCTCTGTCACCGTCCAGCCTGCTGGTGCTCTAATTCAAAACAGCAGGACAGGTGCTTAGCATGCAAGCACTGCATGAGCCACTATTTGTGCCCAGCAGCACTAAAATGAAGCTGAGGTCTGAGGCTTGAAAAGAGATGGGGAAACAGAAGAAGGGAATGTGGCACAGAGAGCGACAGCTCAGCGGGCGTTTTCACCACAGTGAAGCACTGAAGAGCCTGCTTCCAATTCCACAGACAACAGCCAGCCAGGAGCAGCTCTTTGTTAATGCACTGCTAGAATTTATAATGCAGCTTGCAAACATCTTTAATCAAAAGTTGCATAGCTACAATACAAAGTAAGAATGAGTTGGGAATCAAAACTTTAGGTAAGAGACAAAGTTAAATGTATTTACAAATTTAAAACTGGTCATGCTCCCCCACTCTGCTTCTGCAATAGTTTCAAGTGTTTGCACTACTGATCTGTAACATAATTTATCCTGATCTTCAGGAAAGTCTGATCTGGCAGGCAGTACATTTCCAAGACAAGAAGGGGCAATTCAAACTGTTATGTTTTTATATAACATAACAGTTATATAAACTGATTTGTTTTCCTTTGGTGTCTCATGTTCCTTAATAGGAAGCTTTTAATTTACGATTTCTAATTAAATCAAACCCTATCAGGAATGGGACAAATATACTGCTTTAACAGCAAAATAAATAGCAAATTTTTTCAGCATGAAGAGTAGAAAACAAGACATCAGTAAAATAGAAAGTGTTTCAACATTTCTTAAGAAATTTCTAGGACTAAATAATTTGCTTCCACATAGGAAAACCTGGCAACAAGTGCATCTCAAAGCAAGAGATTGAACTAAATCACTTTTCACCACCACGTCTCAGAGAACTTTCACTAAACTTACTGTCAGCCCTTTTCCAAAGAGAAAAGCAAACTTAGAAGAGAGCAAATGTTAGAGAATGAGTGACTCATCAGCGCTTTAACAAGATGATGTACACAGTCTCAAACAGCACAACTGAAAAAGAAACTAAATTTTCCCATTAATCCCTAAATCCACTAGAAGTATTTTTCTAATGACTGTGAATAGGATATGAAATAAACTCTATAATAAAGCCATAAACTCTTATTCTGAGAAATTTTAGGACATTTTATTAATTTACAAAGTGTCTGTTCTTCCGTTTAAAATATCACTAAAATTCCTGTCAGAAGTAGGTGAAGAACACTTATAAGATAAAAGCACTACCCAACAGTACAAAGAAAGTAGAGAAACTGAATCAAAAGACTGTGGTAAGAAAACAAATAAAACTAAAAATACATTCAAAAGCTATGAGAGTTATTAATACCTACACTGCTACACTAATGTCACTAAATAGTTACAAGTATTTCAGTTGTGTAATAGCAGAAATAAAACATAAAAGGGAATGCAGTTCTGGGAAGATTACTCCATTTCATATTGCTGAAATAATTCATTCGCTCATTTCACCTGAGGCATGTGATCATAGAAAGTAAGGCATTAACCATTGTGTCATTTACTCTTTGTTTGCTCTTGGAAAATGCAATTCTGACACAAAATCTATTAACAGAAAATGCACAAAGAAAGCATGAAGAGATTATCACCTCATAAAATGTTTATAATTATGACTGCAGAGACAGTTTGTTTAGTCAATGCGTGTACAGGAGCTCTATTGAAGTCTAAAGTCACATCCATTAAATTTTAAAAGCCTAGTTAAATTAAAATTGAACACCCTTTCACATTTTATATAAAACATTTATTTACCCCATCACAAATGACAACAGCCATATGCTACACACACAAGGTAACAATGTACCAGTTCTAACAAGAATCTCTACCTGCATGTAATCTGCTTTCCAGAAGTCAGTTTGAGAAGAAATGACTTCATCTTTGGAGAGTTTCTCTTTCTAAAAAAATGTTACTACCCTTGACATGAGATGCATCCCCAATGCCAATACAAATGTAAACAAAAGGTTTTGGGGAAAAAAATAAACCAAAACTAAAATAACAATGCATATAATGTCTGAGCCCATCCACAAGGAAAACCAGCTGGGGAGACTGATGAATTGGCCACACTTCCCTAAATAGTACTGCTGTTGTAATTTTGATTTAACTTACACATGCTGTTATTTATTGCTAGCTTAGCCATAATACAATACCTTGCTTACTGGTAATGCTGTTCCACTGTGAATATCTCCCTCCAGATCAAATGTGGTTTCCTGGACAGTTCTACAAGCAAGATAACATTTCCAGTATGTTTTAGAGATTATACTGTTCAACATTTAATAAACAAGGAACAGAGTAATTAATATTACAATTCAAGGATTATACCATGAGTCCAGTTAATATTAACTTTTTAAAATACTCTATTACTTCTTCATATCAATAAAACCTAAAAATATTTATACAGACAATTTCATTTGCAAAACCAGATTCATAGCTAATGATCCCAGTCAAGTGAGAAACAAGATTCATAGCTAATCTTCCCATTCAAGTGAGAAAATAAAAATACACATTGCATTCACTACTACTACTACTACAGACTAACTACAATTTTTTACTCAGGTCCTTAATATTAAATATACAACATAATGTAAATAACTCATAAATCATAGTAATGCATATTACTATCTCCTTATTCTAAAGATTTTAAAAAAATTTTGATTGTTCAAGCTGCAACAGCCCTTTGCCATAGATTTTATTGTCCAGATAAAGCTCTGCAGTAATACAATGCTTTCCAGTTGACTGTAAATCTGCAAGAGCACTTATCTATTGATCTGCAGGCTAAATGCAGGATGAACTCAAGATTTGAGCAAGAATATTACACGACAGCCACATGGCTGGAGGTCTTCCTGCAGACAGGGCCTAAAAAAAGCACAGTGTCCTTCCATAAGAAAACACAGTGGAGAAAAAATAAAAATATTTAAAGCATACATCTATATTAATTCAGCAGATAAGCTTCTTTTCCTAGGTATCTTTCATTCATCCCCAAGCCAATTTGTTACTTTTCTGAATAACATTATACAATAATGTGTATATTAACAACAGTAGCCTCAGTTGGACTCAGAGAAGATGGAAAATAGGATGTTGCTTTTTCCCCTGCTATACAAACTGATTTTAAGATTGTTTCTTCTGAGTACTTCTATAGACATTGAACAAAACATCTGAACCCTTATGAATCACAGTATCCATGATCAGCATTTTTACTATGCACCTATCAAAAATAAGAATGAGAAACAACAGGGTAGACTTCTGGACTGTCAGTTCTTGCAACACAGAAACCACTACAAAAAGTGGTTGTTATTTTGAGACATATAGTTCCCTATCTTAACAGCCTCATTTCATGATTACTTCACTTCCAAATCCTTTTAGAGGAATTTTGAAAGTTATTATCTGATAAAAAACAAAAACCAGACTCTCTGAAAACATTCAGCAACTTCTTGACTTTTCCTGGAGCTTGGATGAACTATGAAATATGAAAATAAGGCATTATAGTGGTTTTCAGACAGAAGTGAGCATGAGGAAAACTTGTTTGAATACTTCATAATGAAAAAGACACTTGCTAATCCTACATAAAAACACAAGGTGGAGCTCAAGTATTAAAATTATATACTTAACACTTAAATGAGTTCACACACTAGTCCCTGGCCATTTATAATGCTTTCATTATGCATTTTTTCCCAAGGCTCTCATTCTAACCTCAATAGGAGGAAAATAAATTTTACTCACCCAGTTTTGTGTCTTGGACCTTTTACCATAAGACTTGCATCAGTAGATCTTTTGGAAATAATATGGTCCTGAGTAGGATCCACAAACTTAAATACATGGGAAGACCCAAACTGAACCTTCATTCCACTTTGCAGCATGGTGGTTTCTGAAATACGCTGACCTTCCACATAGGTTTCAGCATCAATGCTTCTTGGGGTTACAGTAACAACACCATCCATATTAGTGAGGTCACAGTGATGAGGCTGAATTCCTGGACCAAATAACTGGGAATAAAATGAATTAACATAGAATAAATTTAATTATACTGCAGCAGAAATAAAAAACCAAAGACTAAGACGTAGCTACACCTATTTACAGACTGGTTATTTAAATTTGATTACGAATTTACAGAGATGAGTGGTACTAAAATCAGTGAGTTTCACTTCATTTTTCAATGCAACAAGAATAATAAAACATATTTAACTAACATGTGCAGCAGACATCCCTTAATAAAAAACTTTTCACTGTTTTGGTCATATACTGTTTTCTTCCACTTGTTTTATATGCAATCTCATAGTGCAATTAATTATAAATCAACTAAATGCACTGACATGGACCCAGGCTACTGGAAGGAACTCCCTGGCATGAACTTTATACAAATATGCTTGTTTTATACTCTTAAAAAATCCTACCTCAATGGGATTGAGACTAGCACTTGAAAGCCATTAAGCAGTACTGATATGCACTTTTTAATCCAGTTACAAAAAAGAAAACCCCTTAAAAAATATAAATTTGACTTAAAATAATAAAACCCTTCTCTTAAATCAAGAGTGCTACTAAATTAAAACAGATAATTATTACCATTAATACAAAATTTCAGCAATATTTTACCCTTCAAACTTTGAAGCATATTTGCGGCATATTTTATTAAGACTCCACAATGACATATAACACAGCAGAGACCAGATCAGTACTATAATGTGAGTTTGCCTTTTTCCATACCTGAATCGAATTGTCATCAAATTTTTCAGTTCCAACTTCAGTGACACTTAATTGTAGGCGATAGAGCTTTGGCTTATCTCTGGAGTCAGAACCATCTGTACAGCAAGTGACAAATATTAATTTGTAAGTTAATAAAGTTCAAATATTCACACAGTGTCTCCACATTTACTGCAACTTAGTCAGAATAGCAATGTTTACAAAAAAAAGAAAACCCAAGTGACATTCTTTCAAGATTGTGGGGACCTTGGTTGTTCCTCATAATGTAAGAACCCTGAAAGTAGAGAAAGCCTACTTGGAGCAGCTGTTCACTACAAATGCAAAGAATAAAGTAATCAAGAACTACTATTCTGAACATACCATGAAAAACCTTTTCTATTTCCTTAGTACTTTAAGCAATGCAACAGTTTTTGTAAATCTCTAAGATTTTATATGGGTATACCAGTATGGGTTTAGAAGATAAAATAAAACACCTCCAGATCCCACATTAATAGTATCTACTGATCTTACTAAAGTGCACGTTATCAGCAATACCTGCTGCCGAGTGATCCACATACCAAACTGTTTCTAATTCATCAGATACTGAACTAGAGCAATATTAAAAGACAATCCTACAAAATGCTTACCGATGGTATTTAGTCTTAATATACAGGACTTTAGAACTTCTGGCCTTGTCTTTATAGTTCCATTGACTTATCTTTTCATCTCACAGAAAATTAGGTAAAAAATAAAGTCCAACTTCCTACTCCCCTCAGAAAAATGCTGGACATACAGAGTGTGCACAACATAGCTGGTGCCTTCACAGGCTATCACAAATGGGTTTTGTCATACATATAAATCCTCTCCACTTCCCAGAAAACCAACCGTACAACTTTAAATATGAGCAGAAACTGATCTAATACTGTCATCTCTAACTACTCTCCAATCTCTTCTCCAAAGCAAAGTAAAAGACAGGCTGCAAGACAAAGAATGTCTTATCTGTGGAAATGAACAATGATTTTAAGTCATTTCCAAAAAAGCAATAGAGAATATTATTAAAGCCATGGCACATATATTGATACTATCTGCAGTAGGCTACTAGTTATCTTTAAATTTTTATGTGAAAGAATATAAACAGAAGCTCTATAAATCTAGTTGTAAACTCCCAGAACACCCTGTATTAAAACCACAGCACTAAATACAAATGCAATATTTCCTCCACAAAAAGGAGAAAATTTTAAGGAATTAATCAGAGTTATTTGGGTTATTTGTTGTACTCCATCAGCATTAAAAGCCAATTTCTACAGTAAAAGGTATCTTAATCCTGAAGATAATTACAACAATTCCTAAGAGCGATGAAAGGCCTTTTTGTTCTAGGGGAGGGACGCATGAGGGAAGGATAGTTGTGTTGTACTATAGTGTAGAGTGTATTTCCTGTTTTCCAACAGCTGGAACCTCACCTAAACGGTATTTGGAGTGTATCCCTTATAACTCACTGCAGCAGGATAGATATTCTGCTATACCTATGGTGAAGGCCCTACTCCCTACTCTCCTGGCCACAAGAGTCCACAAAGGGCGATCTTAGAAACTGATGCACTACAAACAGATTTCATCACTTGATTTATGCACTTAAGAGTCACAAAGTCAAAAACATTTTAAATAGTAATGTTACAAAAAAAGCCTGCAGTGAACAAAAGTGAATAATCACTGTAAGGACATCAAGTCAGTGGTTTAGAACACAAACACGTATTTTTTAAACAATTAAAAAAAAAAAAAGAAAACAACAAGACAAGGCACTATTCATGGATATATATTTTAAATTTGTTACTTCACCAAAAGGTGAATCCTACACCACTTTGAAAATTATAACTTCAATTGATTTCACTGGTCCAGTGCTTGAAACAATGCTGGGAAATAGTAATGACTTAGCACAGACCAAAACAAATGATGACGATCAGCTCACAGAAAACAAGTAAGCCCAAAGTTGAAGAAAAATGGTCACACAATGGACTTTACCTATTGAGATAAAATTAGTTTAAGTCTACACTTTTAAAGCGTATTTCCTCTACTAGTTCCTAACTACTAAAGGTTTAAACATTAATAAGCTTAGCAGATGGTTGGGCAGATCTGAAACACCACGGTGAACTCAGGAAATAATTCCACTCTCAAATTTCAGGCAAGATATGCACTTCCAGCAGAAAGAGCCAACAGTAAACTTTTTTTTATTGTAACAGACAACAAACTCATGTGCAAAGTATTACACAAACTACAGTTCTGTTCTCAGAAAGAAGCTTAGCCAGGAAAGCCCCCTGGTCAAGGCTATCCACTTCTCCAACCTTCTGCAATTCTTCTGTCCAAGTTGCTATACCTCCATGTCCTACATATCTCTCACTGCTATTTGTTCTACAGCTCAAAGATGCTCTTTTTTGTGATGAAGCAAGGAAAAAAGCCTTATGGGGTTGCCTTTTTATTTTTTATGTATGCTTTGTAATTTTAATTTCAGGTTTGTAGAATCTGAGGCTCACATCTGAAAATATGAGGGTTTGCTATTTTTCTCAGCCTTTAAATATTATGATTGTACAACTGAAGTTATTAACATTCCTGAACTCATCAAAAGCCATATTCACAGATAGGACAGACAGAATCAGCTATTCAAAGTGCTGCTGAATGTCATTTCAGTCTACTCAGTTTATTTCTATCACTATCAGATTCATCTCAGTTTACTGTTTCACTCATGTGACTTGGATACAGAGACAATTGCTGGCTGCCACATGTACAGCCACAAGCTACTGAAGTGCATTCTCTACCATACAGAATGTAATCTTCAGTCAATGAAACAGTGGTACAAACAGTAACATCAGCAGCTGTGGAGAAGTGGAAGAGCTGGACATACTTCCCTAGCAAACTTCATGAATTTGTGCAATTGCACAGGGCGTGAAAGTGAGTCTGCTAGGTTCTTCTGCAAAAATATAAACAGCCTCTGTTTTGACAGGAGGACATTTCTACTGGAGTTATTTCTATAATAAATAAAAGTATTATAAAGTGGTTTTTTTTTTTTCCAAAGACACAGTCTGACTCGAGAGTATGAAGTCCACTGAGATAATAATTTAAAAAGCTATCTTTTTTTTTTTTCCTCCAGTGACATGCAACCAAATTTCAATCTTCCTAGTTAATGGTCATGTGCTCCTGCAGAGCTTATCCATGATTTTTAGTTCAGCACACTCTATGAAACCTTTCTGCTCTCTGGAATAACAATGTTAACAAAATGGAAGTCTGAATTCAATTCACATAATGGAGCACTGGACACAAGTTTGAATACAGTTCTTTAAACCCCAGTACTGCACTCCACAACCATAAAGGAAAGGGTGAGCAGCGCTGACAACCACAAGCAGTTCTTCTACAGCAGTCTAGAAAATAAACTGAGGAAACAGGGAAAAAAGTAATAAAATAAAAAAATATTTTGGCAGACATTTCACAATGAAAAGAGAATGGCTTTGTATTCTTGTTTAATTGGTCAAACCAGAACACCTCTGCACATTACTCTAAACTCTAAGGAGAATTGAAGATCCATAATGATTTGTACATTGGGCTATCAATTTTGAGCACTACAAAAAACGAACAAGTCTCTGCTGTCTGAAGTGCTAAATCTTTGACATACACCATTAATGTCAGACAAACCAGGCAGCAGAAACACCAAAGGATGCTATGGAACACCACAGAGTAGAAAGCGAAGTAATTTTGCCAGGGGTCAAAGCACCATTTCCCATGAAAATTACCACAGACTTCATCTACTGTATCAACACAGTCAAATACTGAAAAGGACAGCTAAGTTCCATGCCATTTAGCAAATAATCATTTTAACTATGATTTCTGCAAGCAGATAGATCAAAGAACTTTTAGTTCTACTACAACATTGCTTGTAAACCACCCTCTGAAATTTAGCTGTTAACTGTAGCTGGAAGGTTGAACTCTTTGGAAAACAACATATTCGTGACCTAGTTGATGTTTGTTCACCAATCAAATAATTAAAATAATTAAATGGCAACTAACAAACAATTAAAATAATTAAATGGTAACTAACAAAATAGATAGCTACATTACAAAAGCAATCCCTTGGAAAAAACCCTTAAGACAAATAAGATAGTCCTTCATTTGTCATAAAGAAACTCAAGATTTATAGTCAGAGAAGGTTTTAGTGGCTAATGAGAGAAGATTATCAAATAGAGCGTTACCTTCGTAAGTGTGATAGTTGTAGCAGGCAAAGTGATTCCTTCTCCCTGGGGTTAGAAACACATGCAGAGGACCCAGGTGAAGGCAGCATCAGCAGGACAGATACCATGCAGAACATGCGCAGGAGGGCAAGAAAAGAAAAGACAGGAAAGGGTGAAACTGTAGCCAGACAACACCTATTCAATTTATAAGGATGAAGTTCATTAAACTCTTTCAATTTTAGAAACTGTGCAGAATATAAAGACATCAGTACTACAAAGCTACTGAATGAAACAATCCCTATTGTTTAGAGAAGTGATAACAAGCTGTTAGAAAAAGAACAGGAACAACCGGTCAGTCCCACAAGCAATGTGCGAGGCTCAGCACGCAGCACTGACACCTGCGGCACTGCAGACTGGCTTTACTCTCTCTGTTAATGGGCATCTCGAGCCACTGCCTGAGAACAACATTTTAAAGATAAAGCAACAAATCCCACAGAGTAAGAGAACAAGAAAAGAAATCAACAGTACTATTAAAAGAACTCAAAATATTAATATGGAAACCAAACCTCAATCTGCAGAACATGACAGTACGTTTCATATACTCTGTGTACTGATAATTTCATCTGGATTTAAAACAAACCAAAATAAATTCCCACACTATTTGACCATAAACTTAACCTGTTTTTTTGCAGTTCTGATCCAGGAAAGGTTTCACCACCAATTTCCAACCTTGCTTCCCAAAAGGTACACAGCCAGACTTCAAACTGTAACATTTACTTGAATATCTGAGTATACTCAGGTTACACTTAATAGGAAAAAGAGCTGTATAACTCCATCACCAAAAATAAAAGTCCATATCCAAATCTATAAACATGAGGATGACAGAAATTAAGAGCATAAATCATGTATGTTTTATCAGTAGTTGTGTATACACAATCACCCCAGCTGTTCCTAGATCAAAAAATTAATTGCAAATTACCACAAAGCCCAGCAAGTTCCAATTATGCCAAAATAAAAGTCAGCTTGGTAGTGATTAGAAAGTTCTATATAGGCTGAAAAATGTTTCACATCTAAGTTTGATTTACAACTTCATGTTCTTGTCCTGTTAAAAAATGTGATTTTCCATGTATAGCACCGTCAAACGCCACGTATGCTACAATACACTTGTGAACGTAAACAAAATCAGATAAGCTTAGCAAATAATTTCTCCCTTTTTTCACTCCAAACATTTGCTGCTAAGATTTTGATATTACAGCAACATGCACCTCTACCTTTAGAACTGTAACCTCCAATTCAGAATCTGACATCAGAAGAACAACTCATGTGGCACAGACTTCCTGCCACACAGAGTTCCTTATGCTTACAAAGAATGTCTTAGTTTTGAAAAATCCAAATCAATACACAATAATGTAATTTAGCTTATTAGATAGCCAGAATTCTTACCTGGGCTTAATTCTACCAGGTATGGTAGTTTCTCAGGAGGAAGGCAAGAGCCATAGCCAGACCCGTCAACTCTTTCCTTCCCCTTCAATGGCTTTCCATCAGCGATCTTCCTGGTTTTCTTTGGGACATAATCAGGAGGCCGCCTTTTCAACTGAAACACCAGTATTCCTAAAACACAGTATTTATCATCCTTTGAGTCACACTACCACTGCATAAGCACACAACCAACATCTATTAATCTGCAAGTGTCCCATAGGACTACTTTACTAAATTCCTGTCACTTCTTTAGAATAGTTTTAACTTAAAAATCACTACATACAGATTAAAAGCATACTTCAGTGTAGTGAATAATTAAAAAATTTAGGACAAAATGCAAAACCTTTCTACCACCTAATGGTGTAATAATACAAACCGTGCATAATGAAACAGTAAATAATGCTAATACTCCCTAGTATTTTAAGTGTCTAAAACCAAAACACACCCAAACACACAAAATATCTGTTAGGATTTCTTCCTTTACAGGGGCTCCACAACATGGATTACAATCCAAGGCACAAAAATATCTTAAAAGTTTTTGGACATACCTTTATCACTAGGCCACTCCCTGAATATCTGCAGTGGACACTCATCATCATCAAGAATAGTTTCTTTAGCACCTTTATCATCGGAGTGCTGAGCACCAGGAGGCAGCATGACCTAAAAAAGAATTATCAGTTTTCAGAGCTGTTAGTGGACAATTAGAACATTCAAGGGTATATTCTCTGATAACTTTTTTGCATGTGTTATTTATAACAAGAGATAAGGCCAAAGAATAATTCAGTAACTTGGAATGTATTTTGTTTCCAAGATTTTCTAACACTCCTCTCTCGCCTCCTGCTACAGTTAAATCGCACCTCCTAGAACACCAAGTAAGTCTAAAAAGCAAAGAACAGCAAGTTACACTTAAAGTATGCAAGATCTTCTTTCAGTAAAAAAGTTATTTCAATTTCTCATCAGCTAAGAGAAAAAAAAAAAAAATCTGTGGAGATGATAGTCAAAAAACAAAACTGAACTCTCCATTATTATTTCACACACTGGAATCAGCATTTCATTTTGCTAATGCCATTCTGTTGTATGTAACATGTATGTATCTTTACAAAAGACACAGCAAAGACTATGTTACACCTGCTGCATCCTTGTCTTACCCAAAATTTACCTGTTCTACACAAGGGACTAAGGGCACAACTGGAGCATTTCACACAACTGCCCTCATGCTGCCTAGCTCTAAGGAAGAAACAAAACCAAGAATACTTTTGAAAGAGAACTGCAGACTGTTGCTACCTTTTACAGCTATATCCTTACAAGGCAGAGGAAGGGGGAAATTTTGATTCATGAAATCTGATCTTAGAGGAGACACAGCCTGTAATTTCATGCATTACTGCTCCCCACAGAGATCAAGAAAAAGTAACAATGACAGGCAGTATTACAGTTATTAAAGACAGATCTTTCAAAGCTGAATCAAAAAATAAAATAAAATATGTTGTACTCCCACACTTGCAATCCTAATAATGTTATTTAAATTCATAGACAGTTCTATTTTAAACAAACTACTCCAAATTATTCCCATCTCTGAACTATGACCAAGGTAAGACCTTCTGAAGTGATGTAGCCATTGGCTACAGCATCCTACTACACTGCAGCCCTCTAGAGACTTTGCACTCTCATTTGTTCCCTCCTTTCCACACCCATTTCTGTGTTAACCAAGTTCTCACAGATCTACCTCAAACATCCTTTCATCTTCTTCCAGGCAGGAAACAACTACATTTAAGATTAAAAGTATGCAATCCCTAAACCATTTTCTATGCAAAACATGGCTAAACATAGGACTAATTAAATTATCTTTAATTAGATTTTCAAATAGACAAGGTATTATAAAAGAAGGAAAACATTAAAATGTATAAACCAGAGGGAAACAGAAACACATCTACACTCAAACCTTATCCTGCTAAACTGCTCTATTTCGCATCTCAGATTTTAAAAACAATTACACATACAGGATAATTAGGGTAACACTGCGTTTCAAGCTATGTTCAAGAAGAAACAATCTTAAAATTCCAAAGCCCTTGAGACAGAAGGTAGCTAGTTACAAAGCACGAAATACATGCAATACCAGGACCTGACCAATACTGGACTGGGAAGGAAACCAAAGAAAAACCAAATGCAGTGAAACATGCAGAAAATACAAGCTAAGAAATTTAAATGAAGACCACAGCAACTTCAGACTTTCATAACATTTGTTGGAATAAACAAGTAAGAGAAGGCATGTATTTGAGTATTAAGCCTCCTGTGATAACTAAACATCAAATTATCAGATCCATCCTTAAAAAAAGTCTGACATGAGAACACTCCATGCTGCAACAGGTTTTCAATAAGCTCTTCTGTAATTTTAATGTTTAAGTAAAAACCCTCATATGTAGTATATTTGAGTATATCTGCTTATCATGATTAATCTACAGTTTTCCTTACAAGCTAGGAATGCAGGCTCTGTGCATGCCCCTACTAAAACAAACCAAAAAACAAACTCCAAAAAAAAGAAAACCTAGGAAAACAACAGCAACAACACCACAAAAAAACCTACAAAATCCCCCAATGGATCTTGCTAAAATACTTACTGTCTCATGTCTGTAATGACTACTTAAAAAAACCCAACAAAACTACTCACCATTAAATGCATATTTTTGCTTGACATTACAAGAAGTTATTTATGCCTTACCCTCAAGTAAAAAAATAAGTGCATGCTAAAAACAAAAGTCTAATCAAGATTCTGCTTTCAAGAGTTAACTGGTTTGCTGCATGCCTGGAGTCTAATGCCCCGAGTGAATATGCACAGGTAGCTTGGAAGACTGTCTAATTAATTTGACATCTTCAGAGAAGTGCAGTGAACCCCACATTACTCAGGGAAACTCAAACCAAGCAAACTGAAACAAACAAAACACACACACTGGAACAAACTGGTGTCTACTTGCTTATACAAAAAAGCACTTTAGAACCAGGAAAAAAGGTACAGCCTGATACACTGCAAACCAATGTATGAAAGCAGACAACCAAAAGGAAAATGCCATTTACAATAAAAGTTGTCAAAAATGTTATGAAAAAGTCTTACAATGTTTATCTTTCAACTGAAACTTCAGGAGTGATCTTTATTACAGGTACTTATACAGCCTTATAATGGTCTTGTCCTGTAACTTAAAATTCATCTTAATAATTAAGTAAATGCCAACTGCTTAAATCTTCAGAGAAGACACTGTACCTGGCACTCAAAGAGGACAAAATGTTTCAAAACCCCAACCAGTAAGAAACTGAACTTGTATGTTCCACTGATAACAGCTGAACTTAGCAAAATGTAAAAAATAAGAAAATATGCAAGACCTGTCTAACACAGAGCACCATAAAGTGCCAGAAGAACAGGGGCAAAAGCCAAACCAGGGACAGAGAACAGCTGTGAGACTTCAGTATAAAGGGAGTGCCATTGGATAAATTTAGTGGTGAATTTCTGAGTTTCCAAAAAAGACAACAGTGATTAAAGACACATCAGGCTAATTCTTGGGTATTTTCATGTTTCAAGCAAGGAAAGCAGCTTTATAAAACATCAGGAAAAAAGTAGATTTTAAAATCTAGATTTAAAATACTCAACTTGATGAATAAAAGAAGAATTAACATATTAAAAGCCAAGCATTGTATCAGCAGAGGATGGCCAAGCAGATTTTAGCCAGCTACAACAACTTACTGTGAGCAAATAAGGTCTCCTATATGTAAGAGTTATTGAAGCAGATCTGCTATTGGTCAGGGCAGACCATTCTTGTATGTCAAATGTAAACATAAGCACACAACTGACATCAGTTCAGACACACTGTATGAAGATGTGCTACTTAGGAAACACAAAATATTTTCCAGAAGTACTTCCCAAAAAACTAATATAAAAAACATTTTTTTTGCAGCAATGACTTCATTAACCTTTGCCAAGATCAAAGCAAGGTTCCTCAGACTATTTTCTACATTAAACATCCCCACACAAGATCAGAAAAGAGGATCTAAGGGGGAGCACCACCATTACAAAAAGAATAATTTTCAATAGTTTCCTGGGTAAAGGTGCAATTAGTCCAATAAATTCCCTAATACTCAAAGATTTTTTAATTTTTTAGTTCAGGCATCATAAGTCTGAACTAAGCAGAATGAAGTAAAACTATCTTCCAAATTTAGTCTCAGTGTCTCTGCTGTAGCCCATGATTCTCCCAAACCACCATAGTATTGTAAGAAACAAAACTTTTTTCCCATTTTTCCAACATTTTAAGGAGCAAAAATGCAAGTTTATTAGACACGTCATAGCCAAAAATGTAATCAAAGACTGAACTCAAAAAATATTGTTTTCAAGCCTCGCTGTTCTCCCTGAGAGGACAACATGGTCAGAAGTTTGTAATCTTTAATCAGTACTACCCATGGGACTTTTTGATTAAAGCCACATCTCTAAGAAATAACAATTCTACGCAATTCGTTTAGAATTCCTAACATAATTAAATTCTGAAATTAAGAGCGTCCCTTTAATCTTTTCTGATTTGTAGTGAGGGTCAGCTACCACTGCAAGGTTTAAGGAAACAGCACACAACATACACCTTTTACAACCTCAGCACTTCCCCTTCAGAGAGGACACACTTAGTTCAGGGAAATAGTTTTGTGCACAGATTTAGGTATCCACAGGATGAACTATTAGCTTATACATCTGTGAATCACCAGCACATTTAGTGGTATAAAACCCATAAAAATGCCCAATGAAGAAATATGTCATTTTCAGTACTAATGTTTTCCTGTACAGCAAGCAAAACAAGTGGAAGATTAAAGTTTTACAAACAAAAAATCTGATATGTCACTTCACAATTCTTGAGGCTGTTAGATATTGGGGGGGGAATTTAGTCACAGAACTATCTGAGTCATTCTATTTAGCTTGGAAGTTACTGCAAGAAAAAAAAAAAAACAATCAAACTTGAAATGTGAGAAATTGTGTTTTAGAAACTTACACGAGCAATACAATAATCCTTGGGATTTTCTTTTTCCAGGCCATATTTTTCCAGCGCTTCAATAACTGCAAAGTCTGCAGTATCTGTAGTGGACAGCAGGATTGTCTTGTACGGTATATTTGGTTTTAAACTGTCTGCATAAATTCTCAGCGTCCCACCTTGGAAACCAAATGGAATTAACAATGCAACCACAGAATAAAATGACAGACATGAAGTAATTCATTATGTTTCTAACAGAATATAAGAACAAACCCTTTCAGAAATAACTTCATTATTCTACTAATAAAAGAAAAATTATGTAATATCCCCAAAATAGATTTATCTCTCCACTGGTAAAAATCTCCAGTGATATTTCTGTAATTTATCTAATGAAGTGTTTTCCTAATGTTTCACCATGCTTAGTATTGCATGAAGTTAAAATGAAATAATGTCAATGACTGGTTGATGAACAGACCTTTACCATCTTGTCAGGAAGTCTGTGCTGACCTCCCCTTTCTTTAACAAGCCCATTTAAGATTTCCTTCAGGACAATGCTCTCTACACCTCTAACTCTTTCTTCACTCCTCTTCCATGAACAGAAAATAATTTCAGATTTTAGCAGTTCTAACATAGCTTCACTTGTTGTTTTCTAATGGTGTATATACAATCATTGTTATGTCCCCATTGCATGAATGAGAAATACTTAATCACTATTATTCACAAGATCTACCAGAATCCTTTAGGCAGAACAATCAGTCCTTTACATCCTTTATTTACACTACTGATTGAATTTTCCATCAGGTCATTCAGCTCATTCTTAGTACAAGGAATGTCAGTTATCTCAGCCAACCTCCTCAGTTTGCCAGGCTAAGTCCATCCTTCCTTTTTCCCAGTTTAGCACTACTGTTAGCAAGTTCAATGAGCACACTCTCTCTCAATCTGCCCACCACTGAAAGCTTTGACTTGTACTCACAATGGAACATCCCCCTGTGGAATCCTACCTTCACAAACCCTTTGTTCAGTTACACACCAGATAAACTAGCCATGTGCAAAAAACGTGGAGAAAGCAAAAGTCAAATTTACAGGAGTTGCTGGCCTTAAGAATATTCTCTTAGTAAAATGTTTATAACTTGAGCAGAAGAACTTCAACTACCTGAGTCTGGCCTGCCATCAGAACTGCGAAACTCCTGCATTCTCTTCTCTAGTTTTTGCTGTCGTCGCCGTTTCATAACCACCTCAGGATTGGATATTGTGCGAGTGAAGCTGGTCTCAGGCATATCTTTGTAAACCTCAGCTGCAAGGCGAAAATTCTCACTGCCAAGTTAGTTTAAATAAAAAGAATGTCATTAAGAGCTTAAAAGAGAAACATCTTTATTATTTCACATAGGATAAAAAAGCAACAGGATTCATAGACAGGAGCTCATTTAAGTTATTGTAAGATGGTTTCTACATTAATTTCACTTTTGCTACTTTTACTACATAGTTACTGCTGTTCATGTACCCATGCTCACCTGATATAAATTTAAGGACTACTAGCTGCTAGTTTTTAAAGAAAACAAGAAGTCTTCTACCTCTTAAACACAGGGACAGGAGGAAAGACATTAAAGAAACTTTACATAACTAACTTTATTATGATTTACTTTACTAACTTTATTATGATTTCCAATACTGCAGAGCATGGGAAAGCTGAGTTAGCATGTGTTTGCATGTCACACTTTCTTTTGCAAATGCACTTAAAAACAACTATGATTTAAGTTTTAAAAAATAAGTTAAAGCCACTTACATATCATCCCCATGAAGAAGTCTGTCATCTTTATCTGACGCTTGTCGCAATGCCTCTTTTTCACGCCTCTTTTTTTCCTTTTTTTCTTTTTTTGAGAGAGTTCGCTTGAAATTCTGAATTACTCCCTCTTTTTCTTGTTTTTCAGGCCCATTACTCTGAGCTTTCTGAAATAAATGAGTTTAAAACAGCTTCCATCAATTTCAATCCAAAGAAAAGTTAGCATTGATTTTAACTTTGCAGATGAACCTGTTTAAGACACAGTATCACTGACCCAAAGCCAACACTCCATTACACAGCGATGGGAATAATGCTCTCAAGGGAAACACAGAGAAGGCAAATATAATGTCACATTCCCAAGAAGGTACGAACTAATTGTACCCAACCAAGTGAATGAACTGCAGATTTTTACATAAATAATGCCTGCTATCTACTTGGCCTCAAAAGATTAACTGAAGCTGCAAAAGAAATTTTTGCTTCTGAGTAAAAATACTCTGTAACAGTGCTGTGCTTAATCTGCTTTCAAGGCAACTGTGTTGGAGCACCAGATAAGGATAAACTGCAGAAGGAAAAACATTACAGAAGACTTTTCCCCAGTGGTATGTTTTTCCAAGTTGTCATTCCAGCATCATCATCTTCAATTCCTGCTCCTTGCATACACATGATACCTGTAATCCTAGGCTCATTTGCCTTCTGTAAAGATTACAGAGCATGAGAGAAAGAAGATGCAGATTTTCTCATTTCTATCAGGAAGCAAAGAACATAGAGAAGGAAGATTGCAAATCACTTAATTCAATTAATAGGAATAGCAGGGTTGGTACATGTAGTGCAAGGCATCATTAACTTTCCCTTCTGCCCTGTAACATGGATGTATCCTGTAGTCAAATGCCCAGTACAGGCTCACATCCCTATACCTAAAGCACTTCTAAAATTAACAAGCTCTAGATCCAAAAGCAAAGGAAATTTAGTGCTCAGCACAAGATCAAAAACTCGCCTTAAGATAGCCCACACTGAATAGCATGTTTTCCATAGCTATAGGCAAACAAGCTACATATAATATATATAATTATATGACTTCAGGAACCAAAGTCTAATCTAATTTAATGTTTAAATTGCTAATATTAAAGCAAATTTTTGTACAGCTGATGTTGGCAGCTCATTCATTTTGCAATTGTAAGAGAAAAAAATAATCAAAAACCAAAAAAGCAAAACCAACCCAAATCAAAAAACCCTGCACAAAAGGAAAAAGTCTTCCATCATTTTTTTCAAGAAAGAGAATGTTACCTAAGGAGGTAATAATTTTTAGCTCTTTACACCCCCTGGCACTCCCTTTTAAAAGCTTTGCAAGAGACAGGATTACCTCCTGGTATGCGGCACCATATACTATTTGAGGTATTTTTCAAGTCATCATAATAGAACAAAGCAAGCTTTAAGTTCTCTAGGCATGCTCCAGTACTAGACAGCTACATGGGTCACAGCCATCTAAAGATAACAAAAGAGCTGTGTCGCAAAGATGCACTTCAAGTATTTAAAAATACTTGCTCCAGATATTGAAGGTCATGAGCAGCAGTTGTTTTCAGGAATTAGAAAAGTGAAAGTTATGTTTTCCTATATAACCAAACCCCAGAGATTTCAAAAGTGTTGTTAGCACTAGCATGCTCTGTAGAGACTCACCTTTGGAGGAAGTGTATCATTTTCATTCTTGAGGACAAACCTTCCCTCGCGATCATCTTTGTTCCAGTTTAACTGCACAACAAGAGGTTTCTCATCCACATCTAATCTTCTTTCTTCTTCAAAAAAATGAAAAGCAGAAACAATTACTTGGTATCTCAAGAGCAAAGATAGTTTGAAGTAAGTTAAGCTTTCAATAAAACCAAAAGGTTTGCTTAACAGAACACATCAGTTGATGTTTCCCTCTTAAGTACAGGGACAGAAAGCAAGCTTGGGAATGTAGAATTAATTGCATGTCTCCTTTCCAGCAAAAAGCCCAAGTGTTCCATCTATCTACATAAGCTAAATGTCCCCATAAAGTAGTCACACATAACTCCTTTATCAGAACTAAGTCTTGGAACACAACAGTACCACTCTGGAGGGTAAGTCAGATTTAGAGTTGAAATGCTTAGCACTTTCTAACATCCTGGGCCTTGTAAATACTCATTTTTCTTGTTTTAAATTTACTTTTAAATTTACTTTTTAAAGTAGACCACAGTCTGGTTGCAGCCCAAAAATACTATCCTAAAAAGACTGCACAAAAATAAACAAGATTACAAAATTTAAACAATAAAACAAATCAAAAGCCCCCACGACATTATTCAGGTCCAAGACAAAATTTCATTTCGAGTATTACATCTATTTTAAGTATATGGAAAAACAACTGACAGAGTGGTTAAAAAACTTAAGCAAGTCTTGCCATTTGACTTTCCCTTTGAAAAGGAGGAGACAGTACACATGCCCAGGAAAACAACAATGTCTTTGTGGTTATTTTGTTCAGTAAGAAACACTCCTATTGACCTTGTATGCCTCAATCATCTTTTAAAAATCAGGAACTTGTTCCGCAAAGAAAACAATTTCATTTTGACTATAGGTACAGCACTAACAGACTTTTAAAGAAATCTAAAGCAGAAAAAAAAAATATTTTCAGTCGTTCAAATGCAGTATTTAAGGTTGTTCAAGCACTTGTGTATACTTCTTAAGAACAAAAATAAAAAACACAACCAAAAGATTGTTTCTCTTTTATCTGTCCCCACCCCCACCACCCACACTATCACCTTCTGATCTGAAAGAGACAAATTTTAGCAGTACCAAAGACTATTTAAATATCCAAGTTCTCCACAGGTAACATCAGAGGATCTGTTTAAGAAACAGTGGCTTCAAACAATATTAAGCTGAACTTCCCCCAGTTCAGCAGTAAAAGAACATGAGTTACAAGATTACCATCACAGGCCCACAATGTCAAAGAACACAAGGTGTACTCTCAACTGGTCAATTTAACAATCCTAGTCTGCCATTATAAATTTAGTCTTTACCTACTAATCCTAAAAATAGCAACTCTCTCACAAATGTCAACACACTAACAGGAAGTCAATCACAGCATGTTACAAATCATAATCAAATTTTACATTAACTGCAGGCCTAGTATGTATAATCAGGTTTTGAAAACCACTCCCCAAAAACAATTAATAGCAACATATTTAAGAATAAAAAACCCAAGTCTCATGTGGTTCAGAAACTGATGGCAAATATAAAGATACTTTGGCTGGGAGTAGATATAATGGTGGTGAGGATGCAGGAAGGACTTTATGAACAAATACAAACCTCCGCTGACATGCACTTCATAAAGTGAGTATTTAGGGGATGACAACATTCGCATGTCTGGTCGAAACTTCTCTGCAAGAGTTTCTATGACATCTTGAGTTGTGGCAGTACTGGAGACACGGATACATTTTGTTGCAAAATTTCCAGCTGCTTTGTCTTGAAAGTAGAATCTCATTACTCCATGAAACTCAAGATCCTGTAAAGAAATAAAAATACAAATCTGAGTGCTGGCTAACATTTATAAGGTTCAGAGTTCTCTTATTATTTGTTACAAATTTATTATGAAAATATCAGACCTCCAAATATTACACTGGTTTTCAAAATTTTCATAACAGTAGAATTAAAAGCCAGGAAACTATAAACTTGAAAAGCTATCCTGCAAAAAGAAATTAAGGACTATCTATTATTGAAAATACTGAAGTTGAATCTTTTAAGTATTCCAATTTACAACTATATTCAGGAGAATTAATAAAACCTCTTTTCTAAAACCTAGAGACATCCTGAAGACTAACTGAGAATAGGCCCCTGCAAGCCAAGTCTGTAAAAGTACATGCTCAAGGAACCGCAGCGTGTCTTCATGAGAACAGCTTGCTGTCACAGAACTCACAGGATCATCTTTTCTCTCCTGTTTTCACCCCTTCATGCACTCCTGTCTCATGGTGGCATCTGTTTGTCCCAGAAGCAGCCTTTTAAGGAAGCTAAACCATTTGATTTGCTTGTACTTTTTATTTTAAGAAAGGTTACTCTTTGGTACAGCTCCCTAAGCACTGTGTGAGGGAAAAAAGCTTCAGCACCAACACGAGGTGAAGAAAGGGACTGCAGCTGTCAGCCAGGTGGCTACACTACAACTGCAAAGGGAATTTGTTCAAACTATTGTAACTTCACATCCTCAAGTGATTTCCTTTGCCACTGGAGCCTATGCTCTAGTGCAGCACACCAAACCTCAGGAGGATACGGTCTGCTTATGCTACTCCACTACCAGTCTGAATAACAACTCCAAATCCAAATTTTAGTTCCCCAGTGGTCTCCACCTGGCCAACTTTTGCCCCTTGTATAAATCCCCTTGCAGTCATGGGGCCCTGCATTCAAGGGAAATCAAGGAGATTCAAGTCTCCAGCTGACTTTGTCAAGTTTACTCTACAGTTTAATAATCACTGCTCCTGTCTTCACTATCCAGAGGCTTTGAAATAGGCAAATCCTTAGGTGTTGAGCACAGCGAGATTTTATGCTAGGCACAGCCCTTTCCAGTACTACATCTGATCACAGGACACGCATTACAATGCTTCTTTGAACAGCAAAGAATCAAGATATTTACTTTAGCTACTCTATCATTCAGAAGACCTTTGCAAAAAGAAATGAAAAAATAAGAATATTTAAAAAGGAATTAGGAAGTCAAATAATCTACACTTACACAAACATCTGTGTCACCTAGATACATGCAGAAATAAGAACTGTTCTTCTCAGGATATTCCCAAGCCTGCACCAACACAGCAGTCCAATGAAATGCACCATGGACCTCGACAATGGCCAATTGTGTTTTATTCTCTGTTGTTATCTGAACAATTTACAGAATTAATCTTTCTGAGCCTGCACTGCTGTTCCCACAGAACTATGTATTGTACTTAGCAATACAGTGTTCCTTCCTGCAAGAAGTTACAGTTTCCACATTCCTCACTCCAGCTAACTCCCACCTCTACATACACTCTGAATTTAACTGCAGTTTATACCACCACGGGTATAATTCTTCAGCTGTGAACATTTTTGTAACAGCTACTACTCACCTCTCAAAAGTATCCTGACTACTTCATTTCTTGTCTTTAATTATATATATCGAATTATTAACTAATTATCCATACAAGGACTTACCCCTCTCATGCAGAAGGCTACTAAATGACTTCTGGAAATCCTAGCTATCATAGAGAATTGGAGCTTGCCTTACAGGTGCCCTTGGTAACTCCTTCCATGAGTTCCAAAAGGTCTGAAGCACAGCTTCTCTTCTAAGTCCTGCTGACCTTTCCACAGGATGTTATAACAAACACCACGTGTCCATGAATTCTGTAAGTTAATGCAGTTTCTTCTCACACAGAAAGAACATCAGTGAACACCCTTTGTAATACTGGTTTCACAGTGCATTTGCATCCAACGACCTGAAGGTGTCCACCTAACAGAGCCATTAGAGACCACTTAGAAAATTATCTCATCCCTCACTTCCTTCAGTTATTGGACGAAGATTCTCTAGTTCTACTAACTTGCTTTCCTGCCTTTTTCTCTCTTAACAAATGCTGACTTGAAAGCATTCCTCAATTTTTTATATTTTTTTTCTATCTCATGCTTTTATATTCTACTTATCAGATTTTACATCCTTACAATTTTCCTCATTTGGATACTATTTCAGCTTTCTAGTAATTGTCTTTGCCCGATGTTCAGTCATGCCAGCTTCCTTTCACACTTCCCTCGATAGCTGGCATGCTTTTGGTCTGTACCTCCAGCACAGCACCTTTAACTCCCAGCAGGCACAGGCACTTGGCTACTTACTTGCCCCTTTTAGCTTTATCAAGCCTTCCTAGGGCAGGTGTGCTGCATCTCCAACTGGCTTGGGAAATTCTGTACTTTTTGCAAGAATCTAAGCATGTCATGATCTCTAGAAAGCAGAGCATTCTCACAGGTAATATTCCAAGCCACGTTCCATGCACACTTTTGTAAAGATTTGGTTTAAATGGTTGCCTCTCCTGCCAATACTCCTTAACCGTGACAATTCACAAAACGGCCACAGTATTTTTATAATCGATTTTAAGTTTCAATCCACTTGTTTGATCGTTGCAAAAGACAACACAAAAGCCTTCTGCAGAAGGATCATGAAGCACAATCATGTCTCATTTAGAACACTTATTTCCCTTTATACAAGGGAAATAAATGTTCTAAATGAGACCCCATCTCACCCCACCACCATCTCAAGGTACTGCTGAAGCAAGAATTTTAAAAGAGAAAAATGAGCACATTCCTAATCTTTTCCATGAAGTATGTACTGTGTGAGTACATAATGAGATAAGATTCAAGTAGCTTTTTTTCAAAGGTTTTTTTGTTTGTTTGTTTTGTTTGTTTTTTTTTTTTTTTAGGGAGAGCAGATTATTTTACTGAGGACACATTCTACTGCCAAGTAGCCATGCTTTTAATCTGCAGATTTCTTAACAACACAGTACAGACTGAAGAGCAAAGGTCCATTCAGAGAAGATGTAAGAAACAATCCAGGAAGCTTTCTAAACTACCATGTTGTTTGTTGTTGTTGTTAATATTAGCAATATCAATAATATCGCAAGTTACAACTTATTTCTACCTCCAGGTACTAACAAAGCAGATGAGACAAAAGTGTATTCTGAATTCTCAAGATACAATGTCTGTATAAGCAAGTTTTGTTTTTATTTTCCAAAATGAAGTAATGTGTTTTTCTAATATTGGCATTTGAAAACCTGGATATAAAAACAACTGAGTGCAGTGACCACTGACTGTCCATTATCCCCCAATCTCTTCTACAGCAGCTTCTCAAGCTGTGTCTCCCCAAACCATGTCCTTGTCCCCTCCCCTCTACTTTTTCCAAAGTTTTCTTCTAAAAAAAAAAAAAAAACAACTGCACGACAGCATCACAATCTTCTATCACTTCTCCATATAAAAATCATTTTAATGTTTATTTCCATTACATTCCAAACTGTACCTTGGGGCATTGCTTGGACTATTACAGATTTAAATAAAAGTATTTGATGACATGGAAGAAATTGGTTTCACATTTCAAAAAAATCAGGAAATAGGAGACCAAAAAACCCAAAAAGATCCCTTCTAGTCTTCATCATTTTTTGATATCGTGTTTGTGTGTGTGTATAGCTGCAGTTCAAGCCACATTTAACTTTGCAGCCACATGCTTAGCAGATAAATCCCAACTGCACAGAAACAGATGCCACCACTCACACTCAGACAACAAGGCAGGCACTGCACTTAAATTTCCACTCTCCACTCTAACTCTGCATTAAAGTGTTTATTTTTCAGAGTTTTGTGTTTCATCCTCAAACTCATTCACAACTGAATTTCTCTGTCAAGAATGCTAGGCACATTCACTGCAGTTTCCATGTCAGGAAAAGAGGCTGAAGAACAAAAATTGCTTGTCCTAAACCACGTAGATACTTCTGTATCTATTATTCCCTGATATATTCTTGTAAGCAAAGGAATCTCCCCAAAACACTTACAAATCTCTTGAAACTCTCTATCTTTCTCCAAAGATAAGAACTGTCATTTATCAAAAAGAAATGAAACTGTTTTCTGGATGTCAAGAGTGACTGATTGCTTAAGCGTATAAACACTCCTAAATTCCTCTCAGGAGTTTATATGCATGATAAGCAATTTAAGCAATCTAATATCGATCACATTTGGTATTTTGTGTATCTGCAGTACAAGTTCATGGATCATGCAGGAATGCAAGGATACAGACCAGTCTTCAGCCACACAAGTACAGTCAATTTTCACAAAATTTTAATTCTGATCATCTAGTCCGCAAAACATATTTTGGAGATCATACAGCGAAAGTCAGCTTTTTAGGCCTTTCAAATAATAAAGGCAACTTTCCTCAAATACAAAGCATAATTATTCATTTTTATTATTATCAAATGAAGTTATGGTAGTTTCCAAAAACATATCCTACTCAAAAGGTTTCAACTTACATAATAGTTTCCAGTTAAGCATTGTTTCCCTGTTTTACAAACAAAAGTAAGCTGCACCTCCTCTTCATTAGGCACTAAGGAAAGAGTTCATAGAAGCATTTCAAATACCTAGTTATGACTTTCTGCATAAAGTCAATGACAGGCAGGAACTGCTTTAAAACCAATGGAACAAATGTTCTAAAAATGTGTCTTCAGAAAACAAAAATACAAACACACAAAAGCATCAGAATGAAACACCTGAAACACTTTCATAAAGTGAAACCACTTCATAATTCTACAAAATCTTGTGAAAAGCTTCCATTAAACATTCTTAGAAAACATCTGCCTTCTCCATGCTATCACTCTCCTCTGACATTCCCCTTGAGGACCTCAGACCATCATTAAATGAAAAGGAGCACTACAAAAGCAGGAAGCAAACAAACTTTAATACATAATGAAGTCAGTCACACAGAGCACCCAAGTCACATCTTCTTAAAACTGAAGATGTGAG